GAATGAGACGTTCCATTCCGGGTTCAGGGTCTTGAATATGGTTGGTGTCGATTGCCTCGCATCTCCTAATGTGACCACCAGATACTGTACAACATGTAAGCAGTCATAGTCTGAATTCTCTTTGTTGAAAGGGTGCTCACTGGGTCGCTCGTGCCACCTCGATCTTTGGCTGCGAGGTTGCGTCCCTAATAAATCCATTGAAATTAGCCAGAGAGCCCATGGAAACAGGAAACGGTACACAATTTTCAGTACATACCCGGATCACTGAAACCTTGAGTAGGAGAGGTTTAGTTTCCGTTGGTCGCAACGGACTGGTGCTCCTGCTTTGTCCGGGAGTGGACGACGCGCTCCTCGCGGACAGATGTGAGCTCAACCGTTGGGGTAATGCCAGCCGGACCATTGCGGATGGTATAAATGAGAAAGAAAGAGAAGAAGAGGAAGAAAAAATAGCGGGAGAAAAGTGTTGGGAGGGGTGGCTTGCCCCCCTAGTCAACACAATTGACGTCTAAGACCCCGGAGTTGATCGACGATATCCGGATGTTGGTCTTCGGGTCGATCACAGGCCAAGAAATGGACTTATCCACTGTAAATTCCAAGTTTCTGTGCTTTGCAAGATTTCAGTCAAGTCGAATGGGTGTCGATAGACTAAAGAGAAACTAAGAAACTTGAGGGGAAGGGAGAAACAGGTGAAATCGACGTCAATTACTCCACACCGCAAGTTATTAGAGGGAAAAATGGATGCCTGTTGTGTACTTATCCCTGAACGTGTCTAGTGAAATGTGTATGATATACATCTCATTGGTGTTTTTTTCCTGACATGCAGGTCAAAGGCTCCTATGCAGTACTCCCAGCCTATAATGTTGAATCCCATGCAACATCTATGTATTGTACTCCGTACAATCTAGTATATTGGAAGAAAATTAGATGAAATCCATATCGATTCTCAATAGAAGCTAAAATCAATCTTGTCGTCGGTCTGTGCGTCCCCAAACCTCATCGACATTAGTCTTGCCCTTGGTTTCTGGTACATATCGATAGATGAAGCCACCGAACAACCCGGCCATAGCGGCAAACACCCAATATACCTGTCCACGACCACCAAGAGCATCGTCGAGCACTGGGAAGAACTGTGCCACCACAAAAGTTGCGATCCAGTTGGCGCCCAGCGCCCAGCTCTGTGCCGCCCCGACAGCCTCGGGCCCAACAAGCTCGGACGCCAAGATGAAGGGGACCGGGCCCAGTCCGATCGCAAAACCTGCCACAAAAAGCAAAGCAGCGATCGCCGTCAAGATCTTAGCGTTCATGTAGATGCTTATCGCAAGAAGTATAGAACTGCAGCCCATACCACAGATGCTCAGCATCAGGCACGACTTTCGTCCAATGCGATCCGGCAGTGGGGAGCATGCCAGAGTGATCACGAGATTAATCGCAGATATCATCACCGTGAGTAGCGCAGCAGTCGTTGGTAATATTTTTTGTAGTAAGGACACGCTGTACATAACAATGCTATTCATCCCGGTGAGTTGCTGGGCGACCATTACCCCAACCACAGCAATAATAGCCGGGCGGTAGTATGGGTCTTTGACCACCTGCATAAAGGTGACTACAGGCTTATTAGGGGGCCTATCTTCGGAGGGGGAAAGCAATGATTCTTCCTCGCCAGACGCAGGTGCATCTGAGGTCCTCCAGCTCGCAATCTCCGCCTCAATGTCGGCATCTCGACCGCGGATCCGCTGCAGGACACGGCGTGCCTGGCTGATCTTTTGGTGTTCTGCGAGCCATGAAGGGCTTTCTGGTACTAAGGACAGTCCCAAAAGTTCCAGAGCACCGATGATTCCGGCCACAGCCAGGATGAGTCTCCAGCGGCTTACTTCGCTCCAGAAGTATCCCAGAGATTGTGTCAACAGAATGCCAACATTGGTCATAATCTGAGTGAAGGCACCGAAGAGGCCTCGAGCACTGGGAGGAGCGACTTCCGAAATGTAGATAGGACCAACCACGATTGCAGCACCAGAGCCAATTCCAGAGAGGAATCTACCAAGACTCAAGAGGGAAATCGCCGGTGCAAGTGTCTCTGCCACAGGCCCTAGGACAAAGAATACAGTGGTCGCTCTTAAGGCAAGCAGACGTCCATATTTAGTCGCAATAGGTCCTGCCAGCAGAGCTCCGAGTAAGCCACCGAGTGTGTAGATCGAAGAGACGAGGCCGAATTGCGATGGAGTCATAGGGAAGCATTGCGGTAGACCATGAAAAGAGACGTAAGAATGGATTCCACTTTGTTCACATGTTATCACGGTCTTGGGGGCATTAAGCTCTGCCTGGTAATCCACGTATCAGTAATGTTCAGTGGATTGGAGGGCGGGATATCGTACCAGGTGGAAGCCGAATTGTAGCGGACCAAGCGTGACAACAAAGACGAGATATACCAGGTACGGAGTGACCCTCGATTGAGTTGATACGCCCAAAACCATCGTGAGACGAATTCTAGGTCAATCGACGGCCGGTTGAGGATAGGTTAAGAGCGTCGGAGCTTTAGATGACGTTTGCCGATCGCGGAGAGATAAGATGATCTGGGGGTAATTAGGTCAGACGAGAGAAGTGTCTGCCTGGATAGTCGACCGTCACATTGAATTTAGGCGATCGAGTCACAATGCAGACCATGACTTGAACAGTTGAGGAGTCGAAGAGTTAGCAGGCGTCCAAGCACGACCGACATGTGATCTGACTAAGCGTTTGACTCGGCTCGTACAATTTCAAGGTTCAGACAATACATTAGAGAATCTCTCGGCAATCTTGATCCTTTTCTCTATAGATATATACATTCAAAGAAGTGGAAAACGTGGAGAAGATATCTTTCCACCAATGGAGTGACAACATCACTGACCCCTTCTGATCCACAAATGAGTCTGACAAACCCGCCCTCTTCCTCCGGCTCTCTTTCACGAACCAGAGTTGGTAACTTGAAACGGAGTCTCCAGGCTACTGTCGATGGTAATTACATATTCTTCCTTGAGTCTGATTGATCTTGGTTCTTTGGTGTGAACACCTCGTTTCTATTCCATCATGTTTGGAAAGGGTTTCCCTTTCTTGAATTCTGGAGGATTCTATTCTCGTGGTAACTCTTTCCCTTTGATTCTCTGTGATGATCTTGATTCTGTGGTGCGAGCTTGCAATTGAAAGGGATCCTCGCCAACGCATTCGAATTCTCGAGCTAGCTTGATATGCTAACCCGGGGACTAACAGATGCCATTGAATCAAGAAGACCCGGTGGGTATACCAGCAAAGTCCGGGTCCGAGACCGGTATAATATAGTAGGCTTCATCAGCAGCGGTACATATGGCCGAGTGTACAAGGCCGTTGGCAAAAATGGCAAAAAAGGGGAGTTTGCAATCAAAAAGTAAAATCCCTCTGAGCATCAAATTTCTACTTTTCACTGTCTAATCTCGTCCAGATTCAAACCCGACAAGGAAGGTGAAACGATCCAGTACACAGGTCTGTCGCAGTCAGCTATTCGTGAGATGGCATTGTGCACTGAACTCTCACATGCCAATGTTGTCCAACTAGAAGAGATCATTCTGGAGGACAAGTGCATCTTCATGGTATTTGAATATACAGAGCATGATTTGCTTCAGATCATTCATCACCACACCCAACCTCAGCGACATGCTATTCCAGCAAACATGGTCAGGTCTATCATGTTCCAGTTGCTGAATGGATTGCTCTATCTTCATACCAATTGGGTCCTGCATCGTGATTTGAAACCAGCCAACATCCTCGTCACCTCAAGCGGTGCCATTCGTATTGGCGACTTAGGCCTAGCACGTCTGTTCTATAAGCCACTCAACTCCCTGTTCTCCGGCGACAAAGTTGTCGTCACGATCTGGTACCGCGCACCGGAGCTGCTTATGGGGAGCCGGCACTATACTCCTGCCGTCGATATGTGGGCAATAGGATGCATATTCGCCGAACTACTCTCGCTACGGCCAATCTTCAAGGGTGAAGAAGCTAAAATGGACAGCAAGAAAACAGTCCCCTTCCAGCGCAACCAAATGATGAAAATTGTCGAAATTCTCGGTCTGCCCCGCAAAGAAACTTGGCCAGGTCTAGTCTCCATGCCCGAATATTCCCAACTCCAGTCTCTGGTGCTCCACCGCCAGCCTTCACATTTTCATCGCGGCTCTAATCTTGAAGGCTGGTACCAGAGCTGCTTGAAAAACGGTGGATACACGTCCACCTCCAGTTCTGGTACTCCCGGTGCAGATGGATTCGATCTTCTATCGCGTATGCTTGAATATGACCCGATAAAGCGGATCACCGCTGAGCAAGCTCTCGAACACCCATACTTCACCAATGGTGGCCCTATCAGCGGTAACTGCTTCGAGGGTATCGGGGGCAAATACCCACACCGTCGAGTCACTCAAGATGACAATGATATCCGCAGCGGGAGTCTTCCTGGCACCAAACGAAGTGGACTCCCAGATGATTCGTTGATGAGGGCATCCAAGCGCCTCAAGGAGTAATACTTTCTTCATTTGCTTGCTGCATATCTGTGTTGATCATATTTTGCGGCGCGTGGACAGGCTGGCCATAATATCCACCCACATACATTTAATTCGGGGTTAGCGTTACAATAACTAGCGGAATTGCATCGTGATTTACGCAGATTTGGTCTTGGTATTCAGCCCTGAACGCCATCAGACCACTTTATATCTTGCATTATAAACGTGTAGTGTTTTCCGCGAGCTCTGCTAAATAATAATCGTGTAAATCACATAGGATGCGCCATTTGTACCATACCTCCCATCATTGCTCATTTCCTAATCCCATATCCATAAAATATCGTACATAGTGAGCCAAGCTTGAAGCCCCGCCCCCTCCCCCAGAGAGCATCCGATGATAGAACGCCGAAAAGATGAAAAAGATGCATAAGAGGAGAATCAGAACCCTACAATCAAAGCGAGTCAGTGGTCATTGCCGGAAAATCAGACAAGGAATCATAGTCACACACCATCCTGTTCATGTCGCTTGTCTCCATTGGTATCATCATTGCCGTCACCACCCGCAGTTGAAGCGTGGTGAGCAGCATCTTTGATGCCCTGCTCATCACCACGCAGCGCCTCAAAATAGCCCTTGATATCTTCCGCACTGACAGCTTGTCCACTTTCAGCGAATGGCTGCAAGAATACCTTGAGTTTGTCGCGCAGGTGATTGTATGCCATTGCGCCCTCAATCGCGCGTACCCGATCCATGTTGTTTAGCGCTGCCTCGCCGCGATCGTAGATGCTGCCTGTACCGACACTTGCAGCACCGTTAGCCTGGCCATCGTCAGACATGGGAGGCTCATAGGTATCTTCTTCTTCGCGAAGCTGGGGGTGGGGGACAAGCTTGGGAAAACACTCTGTGCAGCGGCACAACTGATCATGGAACCCATCCAAGGCAAAAAGAGAGAACGATTCCATTGGGGTGGACTTGGGAAGCTCAGTGTGCTTGGGGGCGGAGGGTTTTGTAGGGGTATCTTTTTCCTCCTTGGAGTCCTCTTCCTCGATAACCTTTGATGGCTGTTCCTCAACAGGAGGTTCTTCTTCTTCTTCTTTGGTTCGCTTAGTGACAGGCTCTCCTTCACGAGGCCCCTCGTCATCAGCCTTGCGCTTTTTTGATTGTTCGGTCTTCTTCTGCTCCTTAAGTTCCATCTTCTTGGGCTGAGTGACAGGTACAGAGGGATCCTCGATCACATTTGAGGCCGTCTTGATTCCACCTTCCCGGAAAACCGGTGGCAAGAACCCAATAGTTCCCGCGTAGGGCTTGATCCAGGGATTAGAATCAATGCACTTGAAGCAGATCAGATGGTCGAAATCATCCTCCGCGGGAAACCCAGGTGGGACCAGATCCTCTTCTTCCTCAACTTGAGCATCATTCGTGGCATCACCGCCGCCGAGCCCACTGGCCTTAGGGGTAGCCTTGTTCCAATCACGCGACAAGCCAATGAGACACTCCGGGTGCCACCAGTCCTCGCCACAGCCTCCCGTCTCGACGGTGCCGAGTCCCAGACACTGATACATTGTCCCTTTCTCTGAAGATGCATCGTACTGTTCGCCACAGCCACAGAACTGATTGCGAAAGTTATGGTTGTATGCGTTGCTTGTTGCGGCTTTTTGGGAGTGGACACCCTTCTTGCCAGTCACGGGATCTTCACGGAGTGTGCAGCATGAATGTGAAGGCAAACGGGTAGTTCCACAGTCACAAACAAAGTTGCGCTTGTTGAAGAGCTCCACTAGGGTGTGCTCGCCGTGACAAGCGATCGAGCACGAGTAACAGACACCAGCAGCAGTGTAGGATTCGTTAGAGTCGGCAGGAGGGGGGTTGCATGTAAGACACGCAAATAGAACCTGTCGCAAGGGTCCAAGGTCATGTGTGCAAGAGTCGAAGGCCTGAACCCAATAGGTTAGCTGTGAAACAAGTCGTGCGCCACCTGCTTTGCCAGAGCACTCACATAAGGTAGGGCCTCCCGCGCATCTGCCTCAAGTTGGAGCTGAGACTCAATAAACCTAAGTTTGATCAGTATGGTTTCAATGTAGGCAGAGTATTAGGGAATGTGTCATACTCCTTCGCAGTCTGGGAACTCTGAGAGCCCATGCTCTCGCTACGAGCATCCTCAGTGAGCTGAGCAACAGCCGAGTGTGGGACCTCCATTGCAGTGGGCTTTATCTGTGTTCTTGTCGTAGGTATTTGCAATCTACGAAACACCCAGGAGTCACGAGTGTCAAGGTGATGTGTTGGAAATGACGCGACGTGATGGAGTCGCGACATAACTTGAGTTTCTGCCGGCAGATGCCAACAGCAGCATGGCGGTCTATATACAAGAATTTTTCCCATACCACCTCAACGCTTGCAACCTTAGAAGGCCATCATTAGAAATTTTATATCTTATACACTGTGATCACGTTTAAGTGAGTCCAAAGGCATATGATCAGAAGTTGAGCTGCCTCATCCCTGCAAGTCGCACACTTTGTATAAATGGATATCTTCGCGTCCCACGCCGCCTACGGTGACCGTCACACGGTAATCTCCGCCTCAACCATTCACATATGTTGTATAAGAATCCCTGTGTTGCCTCGATAGTCAAATAAGCACGCAATACATATAAATACAGCCTGTACTAGCCATTGATATCGCTCACTCCGGCGCTATGTTCACGGTGTCATGTGAAAACGATTATTGCAAGGTTGAATTGAGAATTGGTGTCACAGCTCAGTTCCTGGTGCAAGACCTAGTCGGCTGTTTCTCTTGCCCTTGAGTTTGTATGGGCCACTTGTTGTAGTGTCATCTGAGGCTAAATCCTTACAGAATAGTTTCAAGAATTTCTTCGCGAGCCAAAGCTACGGGATATCCGTTTATCCACCGCTCCACGGTTGGGTGGAAAAGACATTTGACTCAACTCTCACGAGACATCCCATACTAGGACAGACATTAATACCTTCTAGCCTTGGGGTGCTAAATTATTGGATCCGATAGGCCGAATATAGCCTTTGACATGCTAATATACCAATAGCATTATTTGGTCTTTCTGCGGCGATCACTCCTTGGTATATAGCCCTAGTCTATCCCCGTGACACATCCTGTGGGAAACTAAGACTATTTTTTTCTGTCTCAAATCTTTCACTTCACTTGGATACTAATGATGAAAGTGCAGATGTGTTGACTGTTGAAGGGCCTATTTGATGACCTTGGGGTAACTATATATCTATATATATCGTAAGCAACCTTGATGACCAGATGAAGACAAGGGTCGTCTATTGATTTAGAAGTACAATTCTCATGCCCTAGCAGCTTCAATCATCCTTTCCCCTTCATCCCTCATGCATCTATATCATTCGAGTTTATCACCCCTCCTAAGAGTGGCTTTCCCCTCTTCCTACCCAGAGCAATCCCTCCATGGTTAGCCCAAAATTAGCAGAAAAGATGGCAGATTATGGGTCCAGAACAACTATGACCGGTGAAGAAAAAGAGAGATATACCTATCTAACTGGTGTGCGTATGAGAGATTTGTAAAATGCACCACTCACCACTCCCACTACCTCCAGTGTGGCATTTCGTGCCTGGGCTTGGCTCGTTGCAGAATACTTGATCGTAGCCCCAACTTGTTCAATGGACTGTCAGGTGCATAGGATTTACTACTCTCTTTATGGCCAGAGTCACCTTGGCGCCCTTTTGTCCGCGACTATCACCACGCAAGACAGGGCCACTGGCTGGATGGAGTTCTTTCAAGGAGCCGGTTCACATGCTGTTTACCTCGGGAGTCTCTCTTCTATACTAAAACTCTATAATTTGCCTTCTTCTAGGTATGCTACAACGCCCAATGAATAGAAATTGTTGGCTGAAAAACATTATATGTGCAAGTCTATACGACTGTAAAGCTCAGTTCATCCCAAAGAGTCGGATTGAATTCGATTCCCGTCACCAATGCCCTTGATATACCCATCGGCACCCTTGGTGGCTACCTGGCTAATTGATATATCACCCGCTGGAGTTACTAAAATTCCTTGGGTAGCGATGTGTGACGTTCTGATGTTCTGCTGGGCCTCTTTCCATACAGTGACCGAGCGACATACTTCTGCTATGCTTTACGGGCTAGCGTCGGCGGCAGCCATATCCGTTTTTGCTGGCACTATTCCTTCACTAACCAAAGGTCTGGAAAAGATTGGCACTTGGGTCGACATATTGCTTTCTATGATGATGGCGGGGGCGTTGATACACGGAAGGTGACTACCTGGCTGCGCAGATATGGGTAGGAGCAGTTTGCCTCGTGGCAAAGTTTCCTCTTATGGGGGCATGGGTCACCATATCGGGGCCACATCGCTATACAAAACTATGCGCATGAAATTCACCTGTCTTGTATATAGGAATTGTGCTTTTCGCCTTATTCTCGACCATATGGCCAATAATTATACTCTCTCTATATAAAAATAAGAAGGGGGAAATATATCTAAAAATAACACTAGGAAGATATCTAAAAAGACATCTGAAAAGACATCTGAAAAGACATCTGAAAAGACATCTGAAAAGATATCTGAAAAGATATCTGAAAAGATATCCCACGAACACTACCAGTGTAAAGGGAGAAATTCCGTGGCCTATATTACCATGGTGCCTTCTAAAGTGATTTCATGCTATTCTTACTTTAATGTGTCTATTACCAGTTGTCATCTAAAGAGATGCTGTCTTCAAACATGGAGCAACCACAAAATCACCATTTCGACCTTCTTGATCTCACAGCTCAGGAGATTACGGCTGCCCTCACCTGCAGCAATTGCCGCCATGGCTTTATCGGTGGGTATGCAGTGTCTCTTGTCGGTGGCGCGAGGATAACCGAGGTAAGCTTTCTCGGGTTTCAACCTAGTAATAATTCTGCAAGCTAATTTGAACTAGGATGTTGATCTTATCGTTGATGCAGACCCAGTCAACGTCCGACAACTGCTTCTCCAGGTGTCCGGCTTTCAGTTTACCGGTCCCAATAGCCTTGTCTTCGTAAATAATGGCCGTGCAGTCAAAGGTGAGATTCTCCGTGGCGGCCATACTCAACACATGAAGCTCCCTGATGCCAATTCCGTCCCTCTTCGCTACATTTCTGCCAGAAACCCACCAGAGCACGATGTCGATATCCCAAGTGAGTACATCTTTTAAATTTACCATGGGCTTTAAATAACCAACTGATCACAGTTCCAATTGTGCACCCGGTCGTTCTCGTGCTCACAAAGATAAAGAGATAGTCTGACATTGCTCAATCCACTCGTCCGAAAAGTATCAAAAAGGTCCACGGTGACTTCGAGGACATTACGGTGATCTTGAACTGGCTCGTTTCAAACAACCTTCGCATTGATTTTATAGCCTACCCAGAAAAGCCAAAGGAGAGTTTGATTCCATGTTTTCAGAGGTTGTGTGAATTGCATACTACTGTTCGCCCCCTCCTCGAGGTTGCGATGGAGGCGCAGGATTTTGCTCTCCTCCACAACTAGATAGCTGCGAAATAGTCCGACAGTCGCGGACAACACGTTCAGCAATGGTCACATATATCTCCTTCGTTGAGCCCCAATCCCATGTTTTCATGTCTTGAACTGCTTCTTCCACCCTTTCCTGAAAATCTTCTGAGCTCTCATCGTCTTCAAGTTGCCCGTCCTTGGTATTCAGAGGTGTATCGTGCAAAATAAAAGAGGATATAAAGCCCAGAAGGTCGTCGTGCACACGAAACCTACTGCTGTCTTCAATAGGGCGGCTGAGAAGATGGCGTATCAAGGACAGCATGTAAAGTCGAGGTTTTGGTGTCAAGATACTTAGTGTATGGTCGAAAGTAGATGTGACTTTGACTGTGTCCTGGAGAGTCAGGCCGATACACGACAATGGGTAGAGAAATATTCGGTGTGAACCAATCGGATCTAGACTATGAATAAAGCCTGCTCGCTCCCATTGTCCATATGTCTGAGTGACATTTGCGGATGGGGGAATACAAGGAATGCCAAGGTCTGATAAGGTCTGGGATGAAAGTGATAGCAGTGTATCAGGCACTGCCCATTCAACAAGCTAGGAACAGGAACTTAGTAGAGCTCTACGACTAAATTGTTGGACGGGTGTGTCATCTCTTACTCGGAGGACCGAAGGGTATCCGCATCTCCACTGTACCTGAGAGCCCCACTCCACAAGAGGAATGTTTTTGTCAACTAAGGCCCTTGCAGCTATCCTGGTGATATTTGCATGGATTTGTTCTGACAGCGTTCTTTCCTGGGGTAATGGGTCCATGTTTCACAAGAAAAATAAAAGTCAAGGTAGCTCAAGATATAGAAATCTTTGAAAGGATGGTTTACATCAAGGTAGATCACTGTATCTATGTAGTGGATGAAAGATTGACAGGCTGGGGCACTCGGGTCATCTGTTGTACCCAAGAAAATGGCCTGCTAGATCCGTACAGATAGCCTTTGTATGAGTATTATGAAACTCACAAACTTCCACACCCAACGATCGACTGGCCAAGTGGTTAAGGCGTCTGTCTTACATTAAATATGTTGGAGTTTCACAGAAGGTCGCAGGTTCGATCCCTGCGTCGATCATTGATTTTTTTTGGGAATTTCTTTTTCCCCCAGCCAAGTGATTTTCTTATTTTCCTAACTTTTTGTGTTTTTTTTGCTGCTTTATACGGAGTATATCTCAGCACTTAAAATAGTGACATAAAAAAGAAACCAGCAAGGTGTGTGAATATAGGGAACTGTGGAAGGCCCACCTTCCCGATTGGGGCTTAATTGAAACGCGTCGCGTCGAACACGCGACTCGCTGCACAGCTAGACTTTGCCGCCCCTTCTCCCTCCCTTCATTCTATCAACCACGCTACCACACATTCGAGAAACCCCCCGAAATATACACGCCACTAATTCATACTCATAATTTCCTGGCGATTGCACATTTTTTCTCTCGAAACTTGCCAGTTGAAACATCCACACGATGGAGTGAGTGCCCCTCTTGAATTTTCTGCGCTCAAAAGCTAATGCATTCGCAGTCCGCTCCGAGCCAGCGACTCGGCCGCAAACCGTGGCCCAAGGGTCAACAATCGTAAGAGAGACAGAGAGGATGATATGTCCTCTCCGGCGCCATTGCCTCCTTCTAGTCGTATGTGGTCTTCTTTGTCCGGGCTGCACCGATTTGAGACTGACAATGTTCATGTGTAGCCACCGCATTGGGCTCTTCCCCTCCCCCGATCCCTTTCGACATGGGAGATGAAGATGAAGATGAGGATAGAGGTCTAGTGCAAGATATTGATGACATTGATGAATTGGCTGAAGATGAGGATGGCATTGACCTGTTCGGTGACAACTTCGAACGGGATTATCGCGATGCAGCACAAGATCGCTATGAAAATGAAGGATACATTGACGATGACGAAGACCATGATGAGATCGATGCCGCAACTCGTCGGCAGCTTGATGCTCGTCTGAATCAGAGAGATCGTGAACTGGCACGTCGGCGCCGCATGCCTGCCGCTTTTTTACAAGACGATGACGATATGGAGTTGGACCTGTCGCGCCAACCCCGACGACGCAGACACCATTATGACGAAGACCGTGAAGACATTGACATGGCTGACGAGGGCATGGAAGAGCTATCGCTGGAGGAACTGGCAGATGTGAAAGCGGCCAACATTACGGACTGGGTGACTCAGCCCCAGGTCCTTCGCTCCATTTACCGTGAATTCAAGGCCTTCCTGACGGAATTTATTGACCCCACCGGCCAGTCTGTTTACGGTAACCGAATCAAGACACTGGGTGAGGTGAACTCCGCTTCGCTCGAGGTGTCTTACGCCCACCTCAGTGAGACCAAGGCAGCTTTGTCATACTTCCTTGCCAACGAGCCCACCGAAGTTCTGAAGGTATTTGACCAGGTCGCGCTCGACGTTACTCTGTTCCACTACCCACAGTATCACGATATTCACAATGAGATCCACGTCCGCATCACGGATGTGCCGATCATTTATACCCTGCGCCAGCTGCGCCAGTCTCATCTCAACTGCTTGATCCGTGTTGGTGGTGTCGTTACCCGTCGAACTGGTGTCTTCCCGCAATTGAAATACGTCATGTTCCTTTGCCAGAAGTGTGGTATCACACTGGGTCCGTTCCAGCAGGAAGCTAGCGCGGAGGTGAAGATCTCTTTCTGTCAGAACTGCCAGTCGCGTGGTCCCTTCACTGTCAATTCCGAAAAGACAGTCTACCGCAACTACCAAAAGTTGACTTTGCAGGAGTCGCCCGGCTCGGTTCCCGCCGGTCGTCTGCCGCGGCAGCGTGAGGTTGTTTTACTCGCCGATTTGATCGACAGTGCCAAACCCGGTGATGAGATTGAGATTACCGGCGTCTATCGCAACAGCTACGATGCTCAACTGAACAACAAAAACGGTTTCCCAGTCTTCGCCACTGTAATCGAGGCCAACCACGTGGTCAAGGCACACGACCAGCTGGCTGGTTTCAACCTGACAGAAGAGGATGAGCGCGAAATTCGGGCCCTTTCCCGTGACCCTGATATTGTGGACAAGATCATTCGCTCTATGGCACCCAGTATCTACGGCCACCAAGACGTCAAGACTGCTGTTGCGCTTTCGCTCTTTGGTGGTGTTAGCAAGCAGGCACAGGGCAAGATGAACATTCGTGGTGATATCAATGTCCTTCTTCTTGGTGACCCCGGTACTGCCAAATCTCAGGTGCTCAAGTTTGTCGAGAAGACGGCCCACCGTGCCGTGTTTGCGACTGGTCAGGGTGCTAGTGCCGTCGGTCTTACGGCCAGTGTTCGCCGCGACCCTCTTACCAGCGAATGGACGTTGGAAGGTGGTGCACTTGTGTTGGCTGATCGAGGTGTTTGTCTTATCGATGAGTTCGACAAAATGAACGACCAGGATCGGACATCTATTCACGAAGCCATGGAACAGCAAACTATTTCCATCTCCAAGGCCGGCATTGTGACAACGTTGCAGGCTCGCTGCGCTGTCGTGTCCGCTGCTAACCCTAAGGGGGGTCGGTACAACAGCTCGATCCCCTTCTCGGAGAATGTTGACTTGACAGACCCTATCTTGTCTCGTTTCGATATTCTCTGTGTGGTGCGTGATCTGGTTGATCCTGCCGAGGATGAGCGCTTAGCCAACTTCGTGATTGAGTCACACCACCGTTCCAACCCGGCCCGTCCCCTCCGGGACGAAAAGGGCGACTTGGTTGATACCAACGGTCACCTCATCGACAGCGAGGGTTACCGCATCAACAGAGATGGTCAGAGATTGCCTCCATCACAGGAGGAGATTGCCAGACGCGCAGCAGAGAAGCAAAGAGCCGAAGAGGAGAGGGAGGGCGAGATCCCGCAGGAGCTCTTGCGGAAGTACATTATGTATGCCCGGGAACGTTGCCACCCCAAGCTTTATCAGATCGACCAGGACAAGGTTGCCCGTCTCTTCGCAGACATGCGCCGCGAGTCCCTTGCGACTGGAGCGTACCCCATTACAGTAAGTTATCTCTTCGGATTTGATACATTGACAATTTTCTTACTCCCAATTTCTAGGTTCGTCACCTTGAAGCTATCATGCGTATTGCGGAATCTTTCTGCAAGATGCGCCTCTCTGAATATTGCTCCTCGCTGGATATTGACCGTGCCATCGCTGTTACGGTGGATTCGTTCATCGGCAGCCAAAAAGTCAGCTGCAAGAAGGCGCTCTCACGTGCATTTGCCAAGTATGTTTCTTTTCAACCTTGGATCTATTGGAACCTAGTGGTATCTAGTACTAATCTCTTCCTCTCAGATACACACTATCCAGACCCAAGCCCCAATCGAAGCGACGTGCGGGCATCCCTGTCTCAAACCCTCACCTGCCGCGGGCTCAGTCCACCGCGCATTGAACAACTTTCTCGAAGGAGGGCTAGGGGTGGCCCACTCGCATGGTTTCTTTTGTGTCTTATACCATCTTGTTTGCATTTTGTTTGTGTGGCGTTTATGATAGGGGGTTTCTCGAATTGGGCCATGATACAATAATGAATGGAAAATCAATGAATGAGATTTCAATGTTCAAGTTGATAGAGTTGAGGTTGACTTGATTGTAATGTGGCAGGCCGCAGTGTCTAACATCTGCTGCGCCTGTGCGTGTCTCCGAAGGACTCGGTGAACTGGCGTCTCACCCTTTCACCCTGGAGTGTGGCATTGTAGCGTAGATACATGGGTTCGATATGATTTCATATCAATAGCTACCTGATACGCTATAAAACACCATATTTCTTTCATTGTCTAGTATCATTTCTCTCATGTATCATTCCTAGCCTATCAAACCACACACTCTCCGTCCACATCCGGGTATATATCTCAAGGCGGGCCGGTGTGAGACATGGCAGGTGTATGGTCTTCCGATACCGGTCTGTCAGTGTCCCTAGATTTTGATCGTGGACGTGGTTTGGGTCGGACATGTCTGGTTTTTCTAGGTCAAACAATATACATATAAGATAATCGTAAGTAGCTTGTTCCATATAAGATCAATCTATTTTGTCGCGGTGATCTCATGTGAGATTTTCAAGCCGAGGAATGTTCGGTATGTGCCGAGTACTTCTCCGCATGTATATGCCGGGCTGTTTGCTACGCTTAGAAGGGCGTCATATTCGAACAAGAAGTCTCGTCACTCCTTACTGGTATTCCCCTTATGGTACGGAATTGGAATTGCGCTCTTGACTCGACCGATGGGTAATCTCAAGGGATCGAAAGTAACCTGATTGAAGATGTCTGTCTGTACTCTGGACACATTCCAGGAATAGAAGATGACATCAATATGGAATGTCAATGTGCGTCATTCTCAGTCCTGGCTATTTTTAGTCGCCGAGGAATCTGAGAGTCTCCCTGGATGTTCTTGAGGTCTCTCTTTGAAGTCACTGTATATAGCAAGCTAGTACTCCGTACTCCGTACTCTCTGTACCTATTTCAACGCAAGTGGACCCCTGGTAGTTTAGCCCCCTGAGACTATCAAGTCTGGGGTTTCTTCAGAAAGAAAAATCAAATGCCAAAAGAATATAACAGATAACATGTAAGATCGTGTAAAAGCAAAAACCAAAAGATCGACAGGGCCAAGCAGATATCCTCAAGGAGACGATCACTGGACATTTTACGTATGCTCGCCTCTCCCGTGTTCCCCTTGCCCCCCCTCCTCCTTTCTCCTAAACTTCTCTTCTCTCCTCTTCTCTTTTTTTTTTTTCTCCCTTTGATTTTGTCGATATAACTGCTAGTTCTCCATTTGCAAGGACCCCCTGATCATCACTGTTTCAGCAATACCTCCTGCCACTTTCTCCCGCATTCGTGCGACACCTAACGCAGCTCATTGAAACGCAAACAGCCTCTCCACCCACACCTCGTTTCAGAGGTGAAATATCCATCATGAATGCCAATCCAGCGCTTGGTTATGCGCCGGGCGTCTCGCTGGCCCCGCAAGGTACGTAACCTGACCTCTGACGGATCTCATGCGTGACCGGGAATAGTTTGAACCCCCTGATCCTTAAAATGACACATTCCCTTGGCCATCTGGTCAAGATATTTTTTTTCTCCTCCAGACTTGTGGCTGATTTGAAGCATCTTGACAAGCAGAACATCACGCATCTCCGACAGCTGCCAGTTTTGGTTCAAATAACCCCTTTCGAAACCGCGCTCTTTCACCCTCAGTTGCTGGATCCGTTTCCTCAAACCGCCCCGAACGCCCACGCTCGACAAACCCCTTCTTAGATGATACCGAGGCGATGTCTCCGCAATCTGCCCCTGGCATGTCAACCGGTGCCAGTATGATTTCTCCGATTGAGAAGACCGATATCTCGAGCAACACTCGGGAACTCTTTGTATGTGTCAATCTTGAACCTATGTGTTCAAATTAGGTCTAACCTCTTGAAAGGAGTCACTTTCCCTCAATCCTACTCCACAGACAAATCGTCTCCCCGCGGCACCTGATGCCACTCAACGTACTCTCTCGAATCGCAACAGACCCCCAAGGGAGCGCCCGGAGCGCCCACCAGGACCACCGGCGGCGAAAGAGAAAGACCCGCTTGACATCTTCGCTGATCCCCCGACTTTGTCCCAAAATGCCAAGGACAAGGCGCCCCGTCGCCCCCGGCGGAACTCAGAGTCTTCAGTAATGGACCGAGGCTCGAAGTTGTTGGATCTCGATGACGATGAGAAGCGCCGACGTGAACGGCGTCATCGCGAGCGTGATGGTCGTAGCAAAGATGGCAAATCGCGGTCGGGTCGCAAGGATCGACGACTTGATGTCATTGATAAGTTGGATGTGACAAGTATCTACGGTACCGGAAGTAAGTACATCGGCCTCGTTCTTTCTTTCGCATTTCCTATTTTGCAATTTGAGGGCTCATATGCTAACTATCCTAATAGTGTTCCACCACGATGGTCCGTTCGATGCATGCAACCCCCACCGCAACCGCCGCGGTGTGCGTACCGCGCCAATGCAAGCCTTTCCCAAAGGTTCCACCAACATGGCTCTGGGCGGCACAGGCCCAAACAACTCTAACATCGATCTCAACCTTTTCCACGGCAGGACGGAGGAAGGTCACAACGATTTCTCCACCGCTGCTCGCCGCAACCCCGAAACAGCCGTCATGGATCCCACTGCTCGAGTGGACCCGATCCATGGACCACAAAGTATGGGACTTGGAACCAGCACCTTCCTCGATGGAGCCCCGGCCAGTCGGTCTGCCATGGCACGTCGTCAAAGCGAGAATGAAGGCACTCCAGCAGCCAATGGTGGTGGACTTGCACGAAAGAAGAGTTTGGCTCAGCGACTACGTGGACGAGCTACCGGACCTGGCCGTATTAATCCTCCAACTGACAACTTTTTCCCCGCCCCACAAGTGAGCTCCAGTCACTCTGCATCCGCCCGGAGCAACGAAAGAAACCCATACTTCCAAGAAGAAGACGAGTATGAAGAAGAGTGGGACAGGAAGGGATCGAGTATCGAAGCTCGGCTTGGAGGCGGCCGACTTCGATCGTCCAGTAGTCCCAAGCAAACCACTGTCTTGGAGCGCAAGATCACCAACGAGCGATCTTATGAAGATTCGAAGCTTAACCCCGGTGGTGGCGGTGGTGGGTTCTTGAACCGGATGAAGAGTCTGCGCAAACCCAAGCCGGAACGACGTACTAGCGACTGAGTCACCCAGCAATCACACGTTAAGCCTGCCCTGGAAATATATCGATGTAGCGAGCGGGCCTTTCTCATTCGGATGCACCTCCGGGATGTGTCAATCCCATGACTCCCCTTTTCCATCTCACCATTAACTCCTCAATGAGGAGCGATGATTCTACGCGTTAATACCCAGCACCGAGCACCGATGAACACACGGTGCTCAACATGGCGTTCATATATTTCGGAATAGAGTGCTTCACACTGCTTCTGATTCCAGACCGCCATAAAACACAATATCCTGATCTTGAGATTTTAAGATCAACACCATGATTCGGAGTTTTCCAAGGTCTATTCTCTTGTACCTCTTCAGCCTTGCTTTCAGAAACATGTATTTTTTGTTTTGAAGCGATTGCAGTTTCCCACATCGGTAGCTTTGAATAGGATATGACAATTGAACTACTTGATTCCAAACGTTCTTAACCCTTGTCTATCTATCGGTAAGGACACTGAACAGCCATATCTCAAGCATAGCATTGATGACTACCCGAACCACGCGCTTATTGTGGGATTCCATTAGTTCCATAACATCGAGTTATCTGTGATACTCCTTTCAACCGGCGAATGAACTATACAACATCGATTAGACATAGGAATCGATGACAATGCCTTTATTGATAGGTTTTATATGCCTCGCACCAATCAAAGATATAAGTGTGGAATTTCCTTGTGCACATTGACCATGAAGCTAAGCGCTGTGTATATGAATTTCGTGTGATAAGTTTCACCCGTTTCATGACATACATACGAAAATCTATTAGATCAGTCATGATCCTTGAGATATACAAGAAGTAACATTCGACCTTCGCCACGCCAATCTGTTTCTCTCATCTCCAAAATCACAGGCGCATGTTCCCACCATGGGCGAACCTTCGAAAACCTCGAGACTCAATGTATACACCGTTGTATACACTGCATATACTCTGTCCGGGCTCAGCTTGAACAGCTTGGCTTTCTTCGTGTGTGAGAAGGGATCCTTTATCGGTGGCCTCCATTCCTTTCCCACTGACGATACTACCTCGGGACATCGTCACGAGAGTTATCAAAAAATGACCTACGAGCCCACCAGTCCGAGGTTCAAGGGTACCCATTTGAAATTGACGGGCACCACACCTCGCGAAACATACCCTGAACAGTGGAACACTTTGTTGGACAAACTGTTTGCTGAGCAACTGAGCGTGAAACAAAATATGGAGGCTACATCTCGTGAGAGCAAAGAAGAGGGACGTATGAGTGCACATTTGAGTTGCTCCCGGGCCCAGAGCATGTTGATTCGCCATGGTATCTTGATGCCAGAAGGCGATGATAATGGATTTGACAGGTTGAAACAGTGAGATTGGTCTGTTGATTCTGCGGTGTTGCGCGTATAGTCTGTGCAGTTGAATCTATAGGTATTCATCGGCTTTCATGTTGGCTTTTATAGATCGAGTGATATTGAATCACTACTATTGGCCAGATCTCAAACAATGGAGAGGCGCTGTTATGATTCCTCTGGAAAGGAAAACAGAAATAAGAATAATAATAGAATAAGAGACAAAGGATACTTAAGAGCGTACGTTCGCCGTGTACTTTCTGTAAGTCTACCTACTATCGAGCGCTCTATTTCCTGAGTTTACAAAAAGAACCTTGAAAGCAACTTCCTACCATGAATAGCACCGGCAATACCGTGGACAATATCACCAGCAGCATGGATAATGTCTATTTGACAGATGCTACATACACGGTCTACCTCGTCAAACGAGAAAACCAATCCTCTCACCCCGAAGGCGATTTGGCCATCTTCGTCAAAACTGAAATAGATGCCGGCGACATTCAAGCGTTTAAGGCTGCCGACGACCACATTCAATACTACAGAGTGGCCATCCGGGTTGACGAGATAGGAGAGAGCCTAATGTCAATAGGCACCACCCTTGCCCGGGATTATCCTGGTAGTTGGGATGAGGCGCTAAAGCAGCTGTCTTTGGAAGCCAAGGAGTCCAACCAGCAGTTGGCTCTCTCGCCTTCAGCACTTAAGGTCTCTCGGTGGAGTCAGCTGGCCAGAGCCGCGCTCAAAAACGCTGGGACTTTAAAAGAGTTTGAAGCTGCTCCAATCACATTTCGTGTTGAAAGTTGAGTTGGTGTAGGGTGAAGGTGGAAACCCGGAAAGAATGGTATATAGTCAGATCAGAGTATGGACCGACAAGGTTCAGTGGATACAGACAATATATGGGAATTGAAGTATTGCATATCAGAATTTTCGACTTTGAAATCAAGTTTCCCTTCGGCTTAAAGGAACATATGAATATTCATTGTGATCCTCTTGTTTCGATGGTTGTATTTGACCTCAATGGACGCTGTCGCTCACCGTAGAGTCCCACCTTTGGAGCTCCCCAGCTGCCATTTCGACACTTCTCTGCATCACCACCATGGAGGATCGACCAACCCTGACCAACCCACGCTTTACGCTCGAACTTGAATTTGTCTCATCTCTCGCCAATCCTTACTATCTGTCACACTTGGCAGTCACATATCCCAATCTCCTGGGTATTTCTCGTGCCGATGATGACGATGATTCCTCTTCGCCAGATGCCCAGGCATTTGCAGCCTATCTAGCCTACCTCTACTCCTACTGGAAGACACCAGAGTACTCTCAGTTCCTCACTCATCCAGGCCCCACACTACGAGCGCTCCGACTGCTCCAAGAGGACAACTTCCGCCGTGACATTATTCTGCCCCAGGTCATTGAAGGTCTGGCAGGGGTCAGTGTCCCTGAACCAGCTCAGACCGAGACCGACACAGCAGATGAAAAGCAGGACGGTCAAAATGGAAAGACATGATGGGCCATCGACACCTACGTTCGATGCGATCGAGACGGAGGGCATGTTTCCTGCAAACCATACAAACCCACCGCGCCCTTGCAGATCCAAGTTGTACATTGTACATGAAATTTACACCCTGGTGATTTCATTGCCACCGAACCCGGCTTTTGGTAAAGTTGAGCGGTCTGCTCTGAGCGTGGCGCTTCTCCCTTTCTACTGTTTTCCATCCTTCAAAGGAGGATGGGAATGCCCAAGAAATGGGTATATCCTTGGGAAAATCGGGGGGTTTTTTTTCAAACAGATTCTATGCAACCCCACTACGATACACATAAAATGCCCATCTGAATGACCTAGCAGACTTCCAAGGTTGTCATACTACTAGATACGGGGATGGAATAAGTTTCTAAAGTGAAGCTCATCCCGATAAGGCACCAAGAATGAATGAATTGTGGATCTTGAGATATTTATGTAGTGTAGTATAAGTCTGAGATGCCTCAACGGTTAAGGACGGATATATAAGCGAAATCAATAGTCAAGTAAGAAAATGCAAATTTGTTTTACGCTTTTGACTGTTAGTAACGGTCAATCACTCCCTAGGTACGGTGTAAATGTTCCATGTCAACGTCATAGGGCTTATACACGATCAAGGCAAAGGTAAGATTGACCCGATGCCCGGGTATCACCTGTGACCGAGAATCATGGCCGAGGTTCTATAGGATCGACCTCTCAAGCCCTGACGACATAGAGGGGAAAAGGACCAAGCGTTGGGGGGAAAGTTCTATGGTATTGTACCTTTTGAAGATATGTGGCCATTTTGGGGATTAGCTGTGCTCCAGTGGCAATGACTCCAACTGGTGTCATCTCAATCGTGAGTGTTCTCGAGAAATGACTCTCTCTATATGAAAGATGAAGCCCTAATAAACCTATGTTGTAACCTACATGGTAACCCAATGGTACTAGTACAGAGTCTAGAGTATATGTAAGAGCGATAAACAAGGCAATATAGAATACGCCCGAAGTACCCGAGAGCCCAACCTTTTGTTTTTCCTATCTTCCCTTTCTCAACTTCTAATTCTTCAATGTTTTCATTCCCATTTTAAAGCTTCCTGGGTCCTTTTCAGACTCTCCTACCAAAGCCCCACCCCCCCTGGTGATCCGCCCTGACCTACCCGTACCTCATCAACTCCTCCACGTTGCGATTCGGGCATTCCATCTTTCCCATGGCCCTTAACTAGTCCAGCAACCCCCTTGTCTCCAATTAATCTTCACATACGAAGTGTGTCGCACTCTTTCAGGGACCACCGCCACCGGGAACTGCATGGGGTACTACATTCCCAATGGAGTCCGTTCGCCAGTCTTGTCGGCCAAAGCACCAGGTCTTGACCCTAAAATGTTATCCTAAATATCAGAAGGGGGTGTCGGAGGTTCGGCCGAATCCAAGCGAACTTTCATACCTGCTGTACTATACAAGCACGCGCCGCAGCAAGCTGACCAAGGTCGGCGGTTTCTTGGAGAAGAGAGTTGCCCGGGATGTCTGGAGACGCAGAATAGGGTGAGCGCAGATTCTGATCACCCGAACCATGCGCACTTGAGATGAATGACTGATTGATCTTATTGGATAGAAATGTTCAGGTCGCCCTGCATATCCTGGCTGCGCTCATCGAAAAAGTTCCTCGCGACCTTCCTATCTACGCCCGATCGGTCATGACAATAATCGATACCGTTTTGCGATCCAATGACATCAATATGGTAGAGGAATCGATTGTCGCCTTCGCAATGTTCTGCCGGCATCAGGACATTGCGGCCATCGCAGCTGACCAGGGCCTCGCGCAGCAATACCGAGAAGTCGTGCGAACCTACACCAGCTTTGCCGACCCGGGATTCACATCCCACCCGAACGCAAATTTCAGCCCCCAGGTGGCCATCCGATGGAGAAATGTGGGACTGCAAGCCATTAAAAGCGTGGTCAGCTCGGAGACCTTGGCCGCCGACGGAGGACAATTGCTAAAGCTCTGTTTGCCGGTGATTTTGAAGAATCTCTATTCTGATGATGAGGATCTTCTTCCGACCCTGAAGACCAAGCTAACCGAATCTGACCCGAATGAACATGAGGCGCCCAAACCCCGCCGAATGAGTGTCAACACAGTGCACACAGTGGATACGGCAGAGGGAGACCCTGAGCTGGCAGCACAGTCAGCGGCCGAGGCGGATCGAAAAGCGGAAATGGACGCTCGGCTCTTGGCCTTGCGCTGTCTTGAGCAAACCATCGTTTCGGGGAGTAACCGGGGCCAGATCCGAATTACAGTAACAGTCATTCTACAGTTCATCTCAAGCAAGGGCCTCCCACAGAGCGAAAAGCGTGTCCAGATTATCGAGGACAAAGGTGGCAACTGGGCAACATCTCTGATCGAACTCATTGCAAACTGGTGTCCGGTGCAAGTTCGTTTTATCATCTTGATCACAGCCATGGAGATTCTCCACGATACGAGCCCCAAGGAGGATGCTTTAGAGGCATCATTCACCATTCTTTCTGTGGTGGATTGGCTTCTCAGATCTTCTGTGAACATGATTGGACTCAGTGTCATGGACATCCTCTATGGACTCATGCACTACGCTTCTGATATACTCGCACCGCCAGAGCGTACTGGGTCTGCAGAATCAGAGAAGGAACCAAACCGACAAACTCAAATCGTGGTGTCTATCTCCCCTCGACGACAGGATCTTCTTACGCTACTAGAGCAATGTATTGGAGACCTTGCAACGCACATCTACTACGGAGACCAAGTCGCAGATATGATGCGGGCTATTCTCAGGCGTCTCAAGCCTAGTTTCCACCATGAAAGTTCCACACCATCCCCATTGGCAACTGTTCACGAAACTGGATTGACGCCTGGGAGCTCGACAAGTTCCAGATCCGAGACAAATGGAGAGAAAACAAACACAGAAAGCTTCTCGCATGCTGCCGCTAAACTGACAGCTCTCCGAGCCGTCAAGGCTATCTTGGCTGTGGCGAATTCAAGGACGCCAGCAACCATGTCTGGTGCAGAATCTAGACACCCAGTCGGAATACAAGTGTGGGAAGGGACTCAAGTACTTCTTCGTGATGTGGATCGTGATGTTCGCTATGCCTATACCGATGCATTCCTATCATGGCTGCAGATTGAGACCAATGGGAACGACCTCAAGGTGCGGTTAAATTCACCCAAGTACATCAAGGCAACCTCGAAGAAAGACCCCGAGCAGACGGACAGGTTGACTCGACGAGGTACCTCGGCTTCTGGGAACCAGAGGGATAAAGTGGCGCTGGTGGCACAGTCGAACTTCCTTCGTCTTCTGCACCTGGCTATTTACGATGCTGCACTCGAGCTAGCTGGGGAGGAATCCGAGGTCCTCTTGTTACACCTACTTCTTGCAAAACTTGTCGAGAACCTCGGGGTGAATGCCGCACAATTCGGTCTCCCCATGGTCCTTAAATTGCAGGACGACTTGTTCACATCTATGGAGCTGAGTTCATTCGCGGCTCGCGTTAACATTGGAAGCTTGGTACACGGATATCTTCTTGCGCTGTCCGAGCATTTTGAAATGCAGTCCTCCCCCGTGGGTCTTGAGATAAGCAATGAGATTCAAGGGCGTCAGGACAAGGGATATTGGCTTTCCAAAATTTGTCTGCCCCCAGTCGATCTTTATGCCATTGCTTTCAGCGATGAGAAGATGTCTAGCAATACCTCCTCCCCCTCGCCACCTCCATTGACACCCTTCCGTGATGTTGAAGGGCTTGTCTATATGATTGACGAGTCTTACCGCAAATCGATACCTTCTCCTCCACGAAGCCCCTCGGCATCTTCTCCAGCACGAGGATTCACGTTCCCGGTCCTTGGGCATTCCACAGGAACAGTGAAATCCCAGGCCGTGGGCGGCCTCCCCTCCGTCGTGAAAGAACAGATGTTGTCCCCGTGGTCTCGCGAGGCATGTTTGGCAACTGCCGATAAGGAAAGCACTGGAACATCATCAATCAATGGCTCTCGGGCTACTGCAAATGCTCGCAACAATCAAAACAACGGGGCTACAGATGGTTCCCCCGCCGGCTCCCAACACCATCGCCGTATGAGCATTCCGGAGATATCTGGCTCGTCATCTCACGGCTCGAGTAGAGGATCTCCCGTTCGCATCAATGAGCTTCGACGCGTACTTTCCGTCACAAATGACTCCCATGGTCGACGCCTCAGTCCATTGCGTGGACGACTTGACGCGTCGAATGCCAGTACTATCTCTTCTGGGAGTGAAAGCATGATGAGCGGCAACTTCTCTGTTTCCGATATAGGTGGAGATGCTGCCTCAATCCAACCAGAGAACCAACAATCACCCGGTGAAGATGGAACAGAGACGCCCCGCGCCTCGGCCGCGGCACTTAACCTACCAGGCGATAAAACATCCACCGACGAATTCCCGCGTGTTGATTCAGACGCAGAGATTCCTCCCGTCCCACCGATCCCGGTCGGCTTGTCGATCCCAGGTGGTTTTCCGAACGACTCACAGCGTTCGCTGAATTCACATGATCGCCCATCCACCGCGCCGGGTCCCTCGCTACTGTCCTCAGTGGGAGATAGGGCTGAAGCTAGTGCCTTGAACAACAAACCTCTCAATCGCAACAAGAGCCGATCCAACCATAGTCTTGCAACAGCTGGACTCACTGAACCCTTAAACGGCTATGAACCCAATACCCTGGAAAGCAACAACCAAGATCAACTGAGGAAGCTCTTGGATGGGTTCCTCTCGCCTGGCGAGATCACGTTGACGAATGGGAACCGCCCGGCAACTGCCAAACCTGCTTCCAAGACTCCGCTGGGCGGATCTCACAGCAGACGACAGTTCAGCGGAGGCCTTGGCCGACCACCTTATTGATCTTTTTATTCGATTTGCACCTTTGCATCATTCTCCCAGCATCTTTGCTGCCATTTCAATTCCCTGGCACTTCATATGCTTATATAATTCTTCTTTGTTACAGGTTTTTTTTTTTTACCCGCCCTGTCTTGTTTTACATTAGTCCTGTCTTCGCTCATGTCGAATGCTGTGTTGCTGGCTAGTAAACCTCTTGACCTGTTCGAGATACGGATGTCCTTTCTGATTTGTCGGGTTCTCCCTCATTCGGTGTCTATCCTTATCATCTTTTCCTTTTCCACTTGCATATTTTATTTTGAAAGCTCAGGCACTTACTTTTTGTCGGTCGTCACTCACATTTTTTTTTATTTGCTAGCTTGCGATGGATAGTCGCAGCGTGGTGTATCTACATAGCTGCATTGCCGGTAGACATAAAATAGACGGTGTTAGAATGAACATAGCAAGACGTTGTAGTTTTATACATGTATAACTAGGTAACCATGTGCGGCATCGAATTGAACTTTGATTTTGATATAGTGGTATATGAATGATGAAGCACACGCAGTTGGGATATCATATGATACAATAAAACGCCCAAGATGAGAGAGCGATCAAAGCCCACGCTGCTGCACAACGAGACCAGGTACCGAAGGACTTGACTCCTCCAGCGGAGCAAAGTATTGTTTAAACGCCTTGCGCAGTGTCTTTTCAGACAGGTGCATATGCTGACCAGGAGCAGTATTGAAATCTAGCTTCCCCTGCTCATGAAGCTGCTTCAGCCCCAGCCAATCCTCCTTGTAGATCGGCCTCTCGTGGAGAGGCGTCACCTCACCAGTAGTGGCATTGACCTCGGAGAAGAAAGCACTCTCCTTAGGAACAGCAACGGTATCCTCCTCAAACATAAACATCGCAAACCGATTCAGTGACGCAAGATTCTTCTTGTATGTCTCGTTCTTGACCGCGCGCTCGTTGTTGATATCCGCTAGGAAATTGCTGTGTTCAAGGTACGAGTCCAGCTCCTCCGGGTCCCGGAAGTACTGCGCCGGCACGACCCGCGACTGTGCAAAACTCGTCCACCGTCCCGACCGTAGTAGTTCCTCAGCCCCTTTACAAAACCAGTTGTCAAAGGCACACGACTCAAACGCTGAGATGCCGTTGTGTTGGCTGCCGAATGTGACGAGGTTGTGGACGGGTGGGGTGTTGCACCGCTCGATGTACCCGCGAAGGAATTGACCACCCTGTGAGAAGCCTAGCGCGTTGATGGCAGGCGCTGTACTGAGGATTGGGTCTGCGGCGAGCTGTTCGCAGACTAGGGCGATTTGCTCCGTTACGTTGCCGAAGAAGGTTGCGGAGCGGTCCCCGCTGCCATCATTGGCGAGTCGGATGAGGTGCACGTATGTGCCGGGATTGGTGGCTTCGGCTAGTTTGGCAACTTCAGTGAGCCCTTCACGTTCGAAGTCATCGCCCAGACCGTGCCAGATCACGAGAGGCAGTTGGGTTCCGCTGGCTGGATCTTCGGCAGATTGCCATGGGAGAGCGACCGAGAGAGCGTTGGTGACCAGTGTGGCCAAAAATATTATAGTACGCATGGTTCAATGATGGAACTGTCAAGTGATTTTCACGATGTCCGCGCCGCTGATAACTGGGGATGGTTGTGGAGACAGAAATGACGTTGGTTTCACCAGGTACCAATCATGTGATGACCGAATGCGGCAATTTAGATCTATAAAAACACATAACAGGTACATTATATATGCAGGAGCATGAACGATAATAATCTAGGTACATGTCGAACAAACCAGGCAGCGGAATCGGCTGGATTGAGGGACTTTAGTGATCCATCCCTGGTATAATGGACTGATCGTTTCCCTTCAGGTGCCTCAGGCGGTGATGCCTGCGGACCTCAGAAAAATTTAACGGGACTGCCATGTTACTGTTGGTTTACAATGTGAATAGTAGGATACCTAGAGAAGGAGGGTTCCGCATCGAGTGAGAGATATACTTCCCCGTAGACACCCATATAATATCTGGACTTCTAAAACATATGCCATTCATTTGAAATTCTGAAATTCTGGCTTTCTGACTCTTTGAATGGCAATGAGTACTGAAAATTATACACTGCTGGATCTTAGTCCTGCACCGAAGTCACTGTGAACAGGGAAAGAGACTGGTAATCCAGGTAGCTGTCAAGTTTTCTTTGCCCAGGTCCTGGTCCGCAATGGAAGATACTTCATGATCAAGTAACATTGGCTGTGATGACATGCTGTTCAGGACCGCCCCTGAGCTGCCATTGGATTGCGCCACTGGTCGTCCGTTGAACTCAAAAAGGATGTCTTCTTCGATGGTATCGATCACCGAGGATGAATTTCTGCTTCTTTGTGGGTGTCTGGGCCACTCAAAAAAAGTAGATTTGTTGTTGTTAGCTGCTACCAGACGTTTTCTGTCCCTGTCATTTAGCTTTCGTCGCTTCCCAAACCGCTCGACTTCCTCCACGGATGTAAATGCAAGCTCGAGTGGACGTGTGACAGACACGGCTGCCCAATCAGGTTCCTTTAGCAGCTGGCGCTTGACCTCGCTCAATCCGCTGCCACTATGAGAGGATTGATCACCAGTCAAATGTGAGGCTGGCTTTTCTGTAACCCTAGAACCAGCGCAATCATGGGTTAGTACGAGGCCCCCACGTCGATCAGAAGCAAAGTCAAAGCAATCAACAGTTCTTGACTGACTGATTTCCATTTGTCTCTGCTTTCTCATCTTTTTTCCTAGTGCTCGAGCCCTTGAATCCAATATCAGGAAAGTTACTGAATGGCGAAGGCGGGGGAACGACCGTGCCCTTTTGGAGTCTTGACTTGGCGAAATTTTGTTTCTGAGTCTTGGTCAACAGGCCTGAGCGATTGTGATGACGCTGCAGCTGGCCGCCTGTCCAATTCATCATGCCAAGGAATGGATAGTGGGGAGTGGATAAGCCTCCACAAGTGACATCGGGGAGGATGTGAGTGTTTGCTCATGATGGAAACAGTGTAAACAATACAAACATATACACACGTGACCTCACGTACAAAAATCTTTTTCGTCTCACGCTCCTTTTCTCCGTCAATCATATCCCTGACTGCCACCGTCTCGAATATGACTTGTATGACTTGTGTTTCATGACAGCTCATCCATCCGACTCTTCCCGCTAACAGGTAAGCATATTGTTGGTTTTGTTTTTATTTGATTTTACTTGGTTTCCCAAGGGCATTTGCCTTTTATGATGAACAACCAATATTAAAGCATAGTTCACCTGAGATCTTCGGATTGCTGAACGAAAACATATTCCATCTTTCAATTTCTGATCTTGTCAACCTTGATATCCTTTTTCTCTCTCATACACCATCTCTTTTGAACCTGGCTAACTGACAGAAAAAGACCTGAAAATAGGGAAATCTGCATTGCTGCCCAACGTGGGTCTGGCTCTCTGGCTCGCCCCGTCCCGTTGTCCAGTAATCTTAGCCGTATATTTTATTTCTTTACACATTTACTATTCATTCATTTATCATTTACCATTTATTTCTCCGTGTTTCACTACGTATATAATATATATGTTCGAGTCTGAACGCTGTACAAGGTGACCTCATGCTGCAGGTATACTTTCCGTGGCGCTTCGACGTGGGATTCTCTCCTCCATACAATACTCGGTCCAGGTGCAACCAAGCTGTACATCTCATCGAACACGCGAATGCACCTGCCGATCGTCCAATTCGGACATCATCCTGCAGCATCCTGTCTTCTATCACCAATCATAACTTCTCGCCAAGCACTCGAGACGCCGAGCCCGTCTCACCGCTAGAAGGTATCCCTCCACTAGTCAAACAAACACCCCCTAATCTGCAGGTGCCATCACCGCCAGTCTGCAGCACTGGCTCTCAGGGTGCCAACAGCGCACTCGTCTCCTGCGCAATGTGAGGCTGGCACACGCCATTTTTGATGGCCCACAGACCCTCCAAAGTCCGAGCTTTTCGTTTGTGTGCGTGCTAAAAGGCCGCTGATCCCCCTTCTTGATTCTATTTCCTCTTTTTCTTTCCTCCTTAACTATCTGGATACCCCCTTTTCTACAACTACCTTGTGTGATTGTGCAACTACCCCCACGCTTTTATATATACTTCTCTTTTCACAACACACAACAACTCAGTCCCTGGACCAAGGACAACTTCTCTTTCTTAACCCAAGACACCCTGGTTTTTGATTCAATCACTGCCACAAGGATTTTCTCTCTGCCACATACTTCCCGGACAGGATTTGTTTTCTTGTTATCTCCCAGGCTTTTCTCTAGTCTGCCCACACTTCGACAAACACAATAGGTAGCTCCCGTCACATTTTCTTTACAATTGGTTCTCCTATGCGTTGCTATTTTCTTTCCTTTTGTCTTCTGGACCTGTACCACTGTCAATTGTGCTTGCCAAGGATATCGACAACCTCTTGCCCAGGATCCAAGGACCTTAGACCTATTCCCACACCGGACTTTTGGCCATTTTTTTTTAATGGCGACCATGAATAAGGAACCACTGCCGATGATACTTGGCTTCAGCACCTGCTGAATGAATCTCTTTGAGATGTGTTTAATGTTGCACACTCAAATCGCCCGACTTTCACTGCCACTGGACTACCAGGGATGTTTCTTTTTTTTGACATTGCCTCAACTCTAAGACCGGAGTATTGAGTGCGGATTTTGATTTACCCTTGGAATCCAATGCCTCTGGAAACAACGCCCCTGGAATGAACCACATGAACCCTTAAAGGACAAATTATGACTCTTTGCCTGGAAATCTTATGCTACTATGGCCACTTTCTCTCAACAATAATGAAACCACTTTACCCCAAGGAAACGACTGAGGAATCTTTCAAGCTAATGTGCTTGCTCCGTGTCATTTATGGTCTCTTAAAGCATCCGCTTTGAACTCTTGCTTGGGCCATTTTGCTTTAAGGAACCTGGCCACTGTGTACCTACCTGATCTGGCCACAAAAATGAACGACTTCTGTTTTCACTTATCTGGAATTGCCTGGATTATGATGCTTCAACCCAATAGTAATTCCGGCCATGATGAAATTGTTCCTCCTCACCCTGGCACTACCTAGTACTCTTTGGATTGACAACAGACCTGGACCTGAACATAGACACAACACTTTTGACCTGGACCTCACGATAATCCATGGTCGACCAAGGAACTTTCAATCCCACAACAGCGAGTCTGGTGCGTACAAGTAATCGTGACGCGACCCCTGGTCTAATTACTGACTCTCACTAGGTCTTCGATAAGAATTATCTCTGGTCCATGGAGCTCTTGCTTTTGCTTTTCGTTTTGCCTTTCTTTTCTTTTCTGCTTTGCTTTATTTCATTGTTCGATGAAGATTAGTAGATACTAACTCTTCGTTTACAGTGTTCTATCATACAACCACACAATGTCTTCAAGGACCAGCAGCGACTCTGACCGAGTCTCCATCTCACAGTCCATGCGTACTTCCATGGTTTCAGGAATCTCAAATATGGCCTCAAGATCAATCCAGGATGATGAAATGTCGAGCCATGACAACTCCTCGTTGTGCTCAAGTATCCGTACAGCCCATGGAAATCCACAGGACATGAAAGACTGGACAATGAACCGCCAAGAATCCCTTGACCAGGCTATCTCCAAACCAGACTCATCCGAGGTGCAAATGCTTTCTTTCTCGCTGTCTCAGCAGCTGATGACCCCCACGGTCGGACCAAATGATGTTATGTACCCAGGCGTGGACTTCCCAGCAGTCCCTGACATGAATGACCATGAAATGACCCGGGATCTTTATAACTCCTTCCTGGATTTCTCTTCTGTTGAAAATGATGTCTGTGTCGGTAATGGCACTCCAGATGATGCTCTTTCCATTGGACACAGCTCTCACAGTACCGAGGACGGTCACTATATCGCAGGCCCAGAGTCGTGGACTCCAATGATACCTGATTCCCATTACCAAGGAACTACCATGGAACAATTCTCGTCGAGTCTTTTCCAGACTGTCCCAGTCTCTCCACCACTGACCGACGCTAGCAATGATATGTCTGTTACTTCTTCTTGCTCACACGCCGGATACACTTCATTCATGACCTCCGATGATGCACTGCTCGGAGACTTTACCACATCGCCCATTGGAACGACTCATGGACTCCACCCAGCGGAACCCTTATTTCCCAGCTCTTCTCTTAGCGACAGAGACCTCAATAGGTGAGTGTCAGAAAGACTGATACACTGGGAGACACAAACATTTCATCAGAAACCTAACCACAATATCGCAGGACAATCAGACCCTCAAAGCAATCCCGCCGTTCAGCATTGCCCGCTGTTTCTCAACATCAAGCAAAGAGTGATCCCGATTTCTTCCCCACTCTCCCAGTGAGAGAGCCAACCCGCCAGAGATCCAAGGAAGGTGTTGAGGCTCGCAACCCGCGAGAGCACCAATATTATTCCATGTCCACACATAGCGATGGAAAATACTACTGCCCATTTGCAACTGGAGAGAAGCCCTGCAACCACCCACCCACCACGCAAAAATGCGCTTACCAGCAAGTCCTCCCCGTGATGAAACTTTTGGTGAAATCTGAACCCAACTAACCGAGATCATCTAACAGCAAGTACCTGGATTCCCATCTGAAGCCCTACCGCTGCAAGGTTCCCGCGTGCATTGATGCACAGCTGCGCTTCTCTTCCAACGCCTGTCTGTTCCGCCACGAACGTGAAGCCCACGGACTACATGGCCATGGAGATAACCCCCACCTCTGCCTGTGGGATGGCTGTGAACGCGCCGTTCCAGGAAATGGATTCCCAAGGAGATGGAACCTTTACGACCATATGCGTCGTGTCCATGACTATGCCACATCCGAGCGCCACAGCTCGCCAGAGACCTCGCCCGGCGCAGGTCAGATCAAGAAGAAGGAACCCACTGGCCGCAAGAGAAGAGTCACCGGTGCCACCCCGGCTCCCACCATGAAACGTACTCGCTCCGTCCACTCCCAGGCTGGCTCCATCAAGGCCACTCAAACTTCCGCCAGCCTTGGACAGCGTCTCCAGAGTGCCGAACAGAACTTCTTCAAGTGCCGCTCACGTCTGCTCGAGGAGCTGAGTAACATTTCCCCTCAGGATATTGCCATGCACGAGAAGGTCAACGCTAGTTTCCAGGAACTGTTCACCTTGGGGATGAACTACCGCCAGATTGAGACCAGCCAGGCAGTTTCCCACATGCCCAATGGATTGCCTTGAAGGGTTGTGGAGCTGTAGACCTCCTTCCTGGAGGAGAACAGCGGTTTTCTTTAGAACGATATGAACAAACTTCACGGGAGGACTTTTTCTTGATTTCCTTTTTACTCCACGGCTTAGACCGTGCTGCTTGCTGGCCAGGCACTTTCAATACACGGAGGAACCCGGTGCGATCGCTCGCGAGTATACAAGTGGACTTCGGCCAAAGGATTGTCTCAGCCTGATCCCATCGGACAGGGACAATCCGATTCCAAAATGGATATCACGGCCAGGAACTGGATAGGACCCAGCGTGGAAACCCACCCCACGCTTGAGAGTTTGTGATCTGCCCCGGATCTCAAGCTACTCACCACATGTGGATCTGGATTCAGTACTAAGGGCTTCTGAGCTCCTTGGGCTGCCCTCTAGATCCATGGATAAAATTATCCCAATAACACGAAAGACCCGAAACTTATGCGGAGGACACAGCAAAGCGGGATACAGTGTTTCAAAAAGGAGAAGAATGACAGAAGAGAGAGATATAGTCATGTATTGTCCAATTGGTTGGATTTGATTTGTTGATATTGATAGAGATAGGTATTGCGTTCTTGTATTCTGTTTGAAATGACTTTTACTTTTGCAATCCTTCAACCGTACATGTAGATCTGAACCGTATCCAAGTCATAACCTCGTTGTCTCGTAACTACCAACAGACTTTTTCTAGTAATGAAAAAGACATCTAATCTATCTGATCCTACTCAAATGCAAAGTACATATTTATTCTTCAGCAGCCTCCGCAACCACACCCGAGAACTCAGCATTGAGAAACCGCACAAATGCATCCCCAATCTGATCAGCCGTCAGTGCACCGCCTCCACTACCATGACCCCGGCCAATATACGATCTATTCAAGCCAATCCACTGCCTACGCAGCCTCTGCAGCCGCGGGAGAGCCAGAACTCCACCGGCAGCGGCAAGTTCATCCGTTGTTCCTGTCATGGCGACATGAGATGGGACAAGGATGGGGACAGTTGCATCCGGAACCTCAATCGCGATTGCATCGGGGCGACTGCTCTGGGCAAGCGCTACATGCGCGGACGGGTAGGACTGAGTGAAATTGCGGATTGCAGTTATAACTGCTGACGTCCGCTTTTCCATTGCGTACATTGCGTTCGAGTCTGTTGCTGCTGCTTGGACAGTGGCTTGGTGTGGGATGATTCGGGCGCGGGTGGAGAGGCCGCTGCGGCCACCACCTCGAGTGCCTGTTGCTGTGCTGGCAACGTCTGAGATGGTGGTGGATGTGAGGGATTCTATTAGGCTTGGGATGGGTGTTTCGGTGGCGCTTTCCATTGATGGGATGACTACGCCTGTCAAGGCTTCGAATATATCTGCCACCGGGGGTTCTGCATCGGCCCAGGGAACTGTGAACAGGGGCTTATCCCATCGGCTGTGGGTGCTTGGTTCCTCGTAGCGAAAGATGAGATTGTTGAGCAGTTCGGATGGGTAGGCCTCCTCGGTGTCCTCGGTAGTCTCTACGGAGTCGAGTGCGGAGGTATCTTCGGGTTTGGAGGTCTGCGCATCCGGTGTCTGTGCGTCCGTTTCTTTTCTGGCGTCTCGGCGCAGTCGGGCGTCGTTGTTGGCGATGCACTGGTCGACGGGTGTTCCAACGTGAACCTGTAACAGACTCGTCAGTCATTGGGTGTTGTAATTCATTTTGCACGTTCTAATCTCATACCACACAGCATGTCGTTTGCGCAGCCTTCGCCTCACACCACAGTTGGTATCTCCATCCTTTAATATAATTCATTCCGTCGAGGATAACAATGCTGTCCCGCTTGAGCACGCGCTTGGCTCTCGCGTAGGCGACACCGCGCGCCTCCTTCTCGGTGCGGGCATGGTCGTAGACAATTCGTGGGTGGGAGGAATCGTGTGAAGCGACCACATGGACCTTGTATCGAGACTTCAACGAAACCTGCGCGCCTGCTTCGGCCGCTGCGAATACTTCATCTTGGTGTTTCTCGAACAGAGATGCGAGTTGATTGGCGCGGTGGGTGAGACCAGAGCAGGGGTATCCCGTTAAAACAACGAGCTGAATAGATATCTGTCAGGAATTGTAGAATGTGAATGGATTTTTTCGACGTACCGGCATCGTGTTAGTTGTCGCGGTGTTTGTTCAGGCGGGCTTTTTTTTTTTTCTTGCGGGGGTAGTGGCATGTGACCCGCATCTACGGAGTATACCCAACGAATCTATGCCACGGCTGTCATTAAAATTCGAATACTTTTTTTTTAAAAAAATTGATATAGATGCCAAATTCGATGCTATCCAGGTGAATATAGGATGAAGATAAAGCAACAATGGAAGGCTGTAACCAAGTAAAGTGAAACTGAGGCCTGAAGTATATGGCAGAAGTATCTAGCTCAGGTGCCTTATCCGTTATAGAACAGTGGTAGAAATCAATTCAATGTATATAAAATCTATCCAACTTTTGTCATGTTATCATGTCATCGTTCCAAGTAGGCCGGGGTATTAAATCAACTTTCAAACGGCTTTGGATGAATCCAATTGATCCTGCGCCCATCGGATCTCATATCCAAACACGGTTCTTCGGAGCCTTTCGTCCTGTAAAAAAAGTTAGGACCATGGACATAATCCAGAAGAGAATTTTCGAATGTAAACTTACGCCAGGGTCTTCCTCAAACAGCACCGCATCCACCACTTTCTCAAAGATCTTGGTGACGGTGAAACCGCTCGCCTCGGCCAACGGGAAGAACTGTTCGGTCTTGGGCAACAACCAGGGCTGGTAGGGGGTGAAAATGACCAGAGCAACAGAGTTTGGGTCCTTCTTCAAAGTCTGCTGCATGGTCTTGATCAGATTCGGGTGCTCGCGGTGGCTGTATACGACATCCGCCATGATCAAGACGTCAAACAAAGAGGGAGAGCCATCGGCAGCAGGGGGGTAGATATGCCCGCAGCGGGCTCACATCACTGCCCCATTTGTAGCCATCGACGTGAAGGCGGGGCTTTCCATCTTCCCTCGCAGGAATGGCGTTGGCTGACAACTCTGCATTGTACTTCATGTTTTCAACTAGGTCTGGGTCTGGATAGTCGGTCAATACCACCGTCCGGGCACCCTGAATGGCGCTCACGATGCTGGGAACGCCTGCTGCGGCACCGATCTCAAGGACATCCTTGTTTCGGATGAGATCCTCGGAGTGCTCCTCAATGTAATGGGAGCTGGTTCGGCCAGCATTCCATAGTAGATTTCCCTGTCAAATTCAGTAAGTCGGCATCTCATTGGGTCATGTCAATTGATATCATACATAGAGGGGGTGGTCGCCCACAAGACGGACGCGCACTATCTGGCCCGATAGCATGCAATGCTCGGCAAATGTGGGCGGAGCATCTTCAGGATAGTACCCTTCGGGATCCTGGAACAGATCTCCCGCAGCAAATTCGTCGTCCATGGTATATCACTTTTAATGCTATGGAGGGGGAAAAAATATCAATATCCGTTATCTATTTCTTATCGTATCCCGAGGTCAGTTGCCTTAGGCATCAATAAAGTGGGCTAACGGGAGCAAGAAATTACCGGATCTCTCGGGATCCCGAGGTATTAGAGATTCCGGGATCTGTACACAATCAGACAATATCCTTTGACTTGACTCGAAGAAAAAAAAACCGAAAAGTTGCATTTTCTTTGGAGAGGATTGTCACATTCTATACCTAGGTAGACACTTGTGAGCTTAGATAGAGTCACGTGAATACCACGTGATGCGGAGAATAAAGACGTGGAGATACAATACCGTACGGAGTACGATACGGTCACAATACGCGGGCAAATCTCGGGGACCGCGAGAGAAAAACTGCTGGCCTTCAAGAGGTCATATGCACCCCTGAGAGAGATGTGAATCTCTTAAATATTTGACTCTCATCTAGACTGTTCATTTTCTTTCACTTTGATCGATTTGGTCGGGATCTGCTTAGTGGAAATCACCCCATCGATATCTGTCCTAGCCTCGCAATTTGCATCCTCGGTCGATTGAGCGGCTTCGATTTCCTTGCCACTGTGCTTTCTTTTCCACTCTTCTCCCTTTCACACCTTTTGTCCATAGCAACCCCCTCCCCCATCTACCAATCTCCCCCACGTCCACTGTCAAGTACACTGCGACCTATTCTTTGTTGCATCTTGAAGATCGGACCGCTTTAGTCACGTCATGGACTCGAATCTGCGGACAACCTACCCTCAAGCACCTCTCCAATCTACCTTCCATACCTCTTCCTCGACCCTCGACCCTTCTACTGGACACTCCACCATGGCCCCGGCTCAAAGTACTCTAGAGGCCGCGTCAGATGCCACTAGGCAGGTGTTCACGCCCTCGCTACAAACTGCCTGTTCCCCGCAGACCTCCGCCCCTCCCATGCAACCCTTGTCACAAGCATTTGGCAACGCATCCAACCCGAATCCCCTTCCCATCGCCCCCGCAGCCAACACCCATGCAGTATTACCTATGAATGCAGCCCCCGCTCCGGCACCCACCTCCGATGCCTATCCCCACCAGATCAATGGCCTCGGGGGTCCGACTGCCACAGCACCCTTTTTGCAGGATTTCAATCTCGTTGCCGAGGCAGCCAAGCGCGCTCAGATGGGTATTGTCATGCGTGATCTCGAAAGTGTCACTCTGTGATTGAGGTTTTACGGCTAGATAGGGCAGGACCCAGGTCGGGGATGGAGATGTCGGTTGCACGTGCATCCCCGGGGCACATGGACTGGCTCCATGTCTCTAGAGTCGGGATTCGGGATTACTATGGCGTATCATACGTGGGGGTTTAAATTTGGGATTATGGGTTTTGCAGAGGCCGCTTGCTAGCTTGCTACCGGAAGGCGCAAACTTGCATTCTTCCGATGCTTTGGGTGATTTCAGTGTTGCTTTCAGACGGTGTTTTCCCGGTTAATTTTAGGGCTTACAGCCCTCATATCATCTACTCATGAGACATACAATATCCATTTTTTTTTAAGAAAAAACGAGGACAATACATTTCCAACAAATGGATAAAGGCGTAGTCAGAAGTATCCCACTTAACCTGGATATACCGAGGTCTAGAGAGGTCCACTTACAACATATACCTGATCTCAGGTTGATTTAGCCCTACTTGCTCATTTGGATTAATCAAAACTGCAATGATAGCCGACGTAGTCCTTTCCATTGCAATCAAATAAGCGAGGGACGCAAGGGCCTCGGTCATCCCATAAGGCAAATCCATCTGTCTATATGTGGCATCCAGATTAGACGATCAGGTCCTATGGTATACTACGGGATACCCTTTTGGGATGGGATTTCCCCGCGTTCCTCCCCAGACTTCGGGAGCTTCGGGAGCTCATACCCCGGAGTCTTTTGAATATTTGTGATCTGAAGCTCTGTCTATATCTTGTATGTACTATATCAGGAATAAAATCCCATACGTGGATGTCCGATTTTGATTTACCTATATGACTACCGTCTTACAGAAAAAGCCCTACTTCGGGTAAACAGGGGAATGGGTGACTATAGGAGTTGGTTGAAACCATCATGTTATATGTTAGGTGGCATGCGAAACTGAGATGACCTTAGTTGGTTATGACCAGGGAATGTTCAGTGAGTACTGGAAAATGGTACAACCTTAGACCCTAATTCAGTTCAGGCGGCGTTGTGATCACACAAGATTTCCTCGAAAGCCATGATCTGGTAGGATCTACAAAGACAACCGCCCCGTCCACGGTGACTGCCGTATATGAGATTGGTTGTTTCTTGGGGGCTATTATCGCCTGTACCGTTGGTGAGCATCTGGGCTGACAGAAAGCTATTATGCTGGGAACTACAATCATGGCAGTATATTGTAGGAGGTATTGTCGGCTTGTAACGGCGTCTCCTACCTCATTTTCTCGGGTGTAGCTGTGCTTTTGATTGAGCGCATGGGTCGCCGTGGGCTGATCTTTCGACCTTTGAACAGATCGCATGCTTCCTGATTATTACTCTGCTGGTTCGGTATGTTGAGACCAGTGATAACGGTAGTGTATACGACAATGCCTCGGTCGCCTTTTTCTTCCTGTACTTTGGGGTATTTGGTACTGGTATGCTGGGGGTGCCTTGGTTATATCCCACTGAAATCATCTCCCTATCGATGTAGGCAAAGGGTGCTGCGGCCAAAACTGCTACCGGCTGGTAGGTAACTAACTGGCGGACATACCTCATTGACTTTCTTTTTTTTCCCTCCGGACGATGACTAATTCTACTTTCCTACCTACCTAGCCCTGGAGGTATCCTCTACTTCGACCTAGAGACGGGTACATCTAAACACTCTCCCTCGTCGTTTCTCCTAGTTTCATTGTAGCCAGCCGGAGTGAGGCTCTTGATGCCTCTGATCGCACCAACCCATCGTTGATCGTTTCTGGAGACCCGGAGGCCATCTGCCAAGAACGCCCGCAGAAATACTCTGAGCGCGAAGATGAAGAGTTCAAGAGAGTGACTGGCAGGGCAATCCCTATCGACGCGGCATAACAGTTAAAATTAATGCTATGGCATACTAGGTGGTTAGGTATGTCAGTAACAAATTGGACTGGTAGAGAATCCGCCCAACACGCGAAAGGATAGCATCGTGGGAAGAATCTCCATATTCAGGTCCGGTGCTGGACTCCTTGATTTTTTGATCTTCTATTCCTGGATCCGTCTTAGATCCAAGCATTCTTTCTAACAAATCAGGGTCATTCCAAATACGGCTAATTTACCGTACCTCCCCCGATCATTCTTTTTATCTTGGCATCTCCGTTCTTTGACGGGGCACTTGAGAGTTCAATTTCAGTTTCATATCGCGGTCGCATTTAGAATCACCGGACGTTTTGAGACGTTAATTTTTAGGCATTGGCGGGCTGGCGCACGTTAGTCCGGCAGTTGATTAGTTTAAAGTGAAATGCCGGCTGCATGGTGGCGCAATTAGCGTGCGATTTATTGGACTCGAGAACAATGTAGCATTCAAGGGGGCTTTGTATATGATGTATTATTCTGATCTGTCAAGAGACCAATTCACATAATCCAGAAAGCCAAAAAGCCGGAAATCCAAAATTCCATCCCAAAACACCGAGCTATGCGCAAGTCAGAGAGAAGATACAAAATCTCCATGAACTAGCGATGAAACAAAATCAAAATATGATCGCTGGGCCCCCCAGTAACTGATGGATATAGCAGCAGAAATGAAAATTGCGCAAAAGGAATGATTATACCGTGGCCCCTCTTCCCCGTGTATGAGTAGCCGTGTATCGTAGGATGACTTGGTCGATCCCATGTTCATAGATGCGGTGGCGTTCTTTTTTTTTTTTATGATTGTTTCGGTCAAATGAATGAAGCTTGACTCCTGTTTCCGTATTGCGTTGATGAACCGATCAGATTCGGCGAGGAGATACTGGCCCCCTTGGTGCTAGGCTTACCCCGCAAAGAGAAAACCGACAGGCGGCGGGAGATTCGCTGGCTCATTCCCCGTTTCGGACCGGACCAGTTGTCGAATGAGATGATGGACATTGGCCGCGACCGCGGGGGTCCATGGGATGTCATTGGCGCTGAGAGTGATGGGGGAGCACTCAAACCTGGCCCGTCGGAGAACATGGTGGAGCGACGCTTGAGCTTTTCGGTGGTCTGGCGAGCGTCCATGGAGAAGTCTTCACGGATATCGCCTAGGACGTGTGAGACTCGCCGGAATAGTTTGGGAGGTTTGTCGTAGATAGAAGGTTCTCGCTGCTCTAGGCCGTAGACTTGTAGAGGGGTTGAGTCGGTCTCTTGGTCCATGGGGGAAGAGTAAAACCGAGGGTATTTGACCGTCATTGTTCGGCGAGAGTTGAGGGACACTGTAGATGCGGGGGGATGTTGATAGGGAGAAGTGTGAGGCTCAGAGGAGTCACTGGAGGAATAGCCACTGTGTGCAGATGAAGTTAACATGATCTCGAAAGGTGATGTGTCCGAACGAGAAAAAGAGAGAAAGAGAAGAAGCCCAAAGAGGGCCCGTATTCAGATGGAATTCTGAAAAAGACCGAAAGTGGATCAGAAACGACACACTTAGTTCCGTAACACGTAGATGACTTGTAATTTAGTGGGAGTTGACTGGGTAGTATATCACAATTGACTATTATTAGATGATATTTACACCATTTACGGAGTACACAGATGGACACAGATGGGGGAGTACGTCAATCCGGTATATCGAAAGGACCATGTGGATGAGAGACACACGTAGATGTATACGCACTGCCATCCCGATCAAGCCCCTAGCAGAATATTCTACTCCATACCGACACTCTCTTGCACATTCTTTTCCACGTCCTCGACGCCAAAACAAAGAATTAGCCCGTGCGACATTGAGTACCAAGGGGCAGCGACAGTGCTTCCACGGTTCCCACCGGGAACTGTGGAGTTCTTTCCACTCAGGGGAATGGCGCCATCTTATACTTTTTTATTTTTATTTTTATTTTTTATAGAATTCTGAGACATGAATGATTCAAGACTTTTGATGTCTTACTCACTTTATATATAGTCACTGAGGTCTGTACGGAGTATTAAATATCAAAAGGATAAAAAAAAGAAAATAGAACTAGAAAAATGAAAAAAGAAAAAAGAAAAGGAGAAAAAACATTTGGATACTTTTTTTGCCGAGAGATCCACAGCCACAGCCACAAGTCCACAGTGGAAAATGCGGGATCGGATTTATTATGATTCTTCTATTACAATACAATACTACAAGATGGTAACATTCCCGGTCATCAGATTCATTTGCTACATTTCAATGTCATCAAAGTGTTCCCGCAAACCCTCCAGGGCTCTCCGCTTACATTACAAAGCGGAGATTGACATCTATCTTGAGTCAGCGGGATCAGGGAATCGAGAGAGAGAGAGAGAGAGAAAGAATAAAATTACCCAGAGGATGGCTGCAGCTCAATTGCGGTTTCTGGGAGTATTTGCCCTCCAGCTCATTTCGGATCGTGTTCAACAGCTGCAGGTAACTCTGCTGGGGCCACTGCTGCAATGATTTGATAAACGCCCAACTCAACGCACCACGCGCTTGCCCGTCTTGGAACGTATCGGCCCTGTTTCGGGGTGAGCTTGGATTCTGCTTGTTTTTGAAACATGTTCAAAACATCACGTACGAGGTCTGTGTATCCTTGGACCCTGAAAACATCACTACATCCGCCGGAGAGGTCTTGGTCATGATTGTACGCTCACGAGCGGACCCGCCATTGGCCGCCTTTTTGAAGAACCCGATCGCCGTGGAGGCGACACTAGAAAAATCACCTTGTCCATACGAATTGAATGCACTGAACAAGTCGAGAGCGGCCTCCTTGGCCAGGTTGGGCTCCTTGAGAACACCCTGGGTCGAGTAGACATACGGCAGATCCAATGCAGTGCCCGAGTGGCACGAATCGAAGATCGCCGTCAATCGCACTCCCGGCCGCAGTGGACGCACCATGATGGCGTGCATATCGTCGTCGACAATATGACCAGCGACCCGATAGTCGAGTGGGTAGATGACATCGTCGAATCCATCGTCCTCGTCTCCATCCAGATCGGGAGTACGGCCTCCGTGGCCAGAGAAGTGAATGAACAAGGAATCGTTATGTTGGGCATCCTTGACAAGCCACTGCATGGCGCGGAGAATATTAGCCTTGACGGGAAGGCTCATCGGATTCCGTTGATCATCGGTGAGTATCACCATATCCTCACGCTTGTACCCGAATCTCTGGGTCAGGAAGTTAGACATGTTAGTGACATCGTTGATACAGCCTTTCAGTGCATTAGGCTGTCCAGCATAGTTGATTCCGATCAGCAAAGCCTTACGGCGACCGGTACAGGCCGAGTATTGGAACTTGTAGTTGGAAGGGGCACCTCCACCGAATTGCTGAAAGTTCTGTGGTGGGGCTGGGGGCAGATTCGGGGAATTTGCACGAGGGAATCCTGTTCAATGGTCAGTGATGCCCCAACCTTGGCACATATAGAACTTTACCATTCTGAGGAGCGCTCAGAGAATGCTGATGGGAGGGAGGGCGAGGGGATGGAGTATGACCATATGGCGGGGCAGGGGAGTGAGGATGTTGGGGATAAGGATAAGGTGATGGTGGGTAGGGGGAATGACTAGGAGCCGAATAAGATGATTGGGGTCGATGATACCCGTAGGGCTGAGGGGGATAGGGCTGAGGTGAGGGTTGCCATTGGGGGGGGTTGCTGATATCCTCCCGGAAATGACCCAGGAGGGGGACCCTGAGGTGGATAATACATTTCTCCCGGATGTGATCTTCAGAAGAAAGAAAAGAAGAAGTTGAAGAGCTTAAAAGTAATTCGGTTGAAATGGGGTGGGTCACGCAAATGGGACCTTTACACCTTCCCTACACAAGTTTAGTGCCTGGGCAATTTCGATATTGTATACAAGTACGCCGTCTGGAGATTGGAAGATAATGGGATCCACCGTTAGGGCTGCAGGTCAATCACTCTAATTCCTCTTCTTATTCGGCCATATAATCTACGTAATAAGGAACCCTTGGAAACCTTTCAAGGCCTAAGGCTGCCTAAGTTAGGCAGCGACTTTCTTTCGATCCTCACGTGATGACATCACCTGATTGTTCTTCGTTTCCCAAAGAAAGTTCCGGTGTTGTAAGAACTAGACTAAGAATGGCTGGGCAATTCAGGTGGGAATAGAGGTGCGTACGTGAGACTCATTTTGCCACTGAGGCGGTGGCTTGGGAGAGACGCGTCAATGCGGCTCTGTATGATAAACACTGTCATGTTGGAAGGAAAGCATAAGGACTATCCGAAATGAGGACGATTGTGTAATCACGGAGTACCTGCGGATTACATAGCATGAGTAACTTTTGATTCACGCTATAGTTGCCGCCCCGGGGGCCACACATGCACCGAAGATCCGATACCCTCCAGGTGTGGAAGGATCTTGAATGAAAGCTGCAGACCCCACCTAATCCGAGTCACGAGAGATCGTATATATGTCTTAGGCCAAATGGAGACGGGATGAGCCGCATGTTTCGGAGATGTTTTGGGTAATCCGAAACCAAGAAAAAAAACCACCAGAGCCTCACAAAAGATCTGAGCCCCCCTCCTATGATGACAATTGTGAGCGCCGGGGAAGATCTACTCTTTTGGATCTCTTGTTCTTACTCCGAACAGCCCTGGAATGTTCTAAGGACCTAAGAGATTCAAGACTTGCTATCTTCGGTCTAGTTGAGGCTCTTACGCTTCCAAGGTTTTTCCAAGGTTCCAAGGTACGAGAGGGGGCGTTCCATGGGTAGCGCCTGTGGAACTATTCCTTTTTGCGACATTGAGCCTCAATTTCTATCTTACTTTCCTAAAACATAAATCGCGTTCTTTCCTTATGAAATTGAGATATGGGCTTCTCGCTTTCTTTCTTTTTTCCCCCTATGGCAGTCGCCCCTTTTGCTTGATACTCTCCCTTGATTATCCGAAATATCGACTCTTTGGCCACTTTTATAGTCATGACAACTCAACAAAGTCTGGATACTCTTCCATTTGATGTGTTTTATCAGATCGCAACCTCGCTGGACGACCGTGATCTTGTGAACCTCAGTCGCGCCAATCGTGCTCTCTATTCTCTGTCGCAAAGCGAACAGATTGCCCGCAAGACCGTGGAAGTAGGTCAAGTCAGCCCCCTCGCTCGAATTGCAATGCTGACATCGGTTGACAGAATGTCTTACTCCACAGTAAAGAAGGTCAGGCTGCCATAGCAGCCCAGTCGGGGTTTCGCAAAGCCGTCGGGCATCGGCTTGCTATCCACGAAGCCGTCGCCACGGCAGATCCGTATTCAGTGGTCTGCTTAGGCTACGGATCCGAATTTCTATACAATCAAGGCTACTTGTGTTACCGTTCTGATCATTGGATTCGTCTGCTGTACGTGCATGGTGATGCGTCCAGGGAGCTTGTCATGGATCTCCGCGAGTTCATCCCTACATTGCTGGAAACTGCTCCCGTGGAGGCAGACGTAACAGACCGGGTTACCCTCTTAAGCTACAGTGATGATATTCTCGTGTTTCAAGTGGCCGAGATAAATGCGACCGAAGATGGGCTGTACGTGGTCGATATGGCATGGCGGGAAACCCATCAGAGACGGAGACGTCCCCTGCTCAAGAAGGCAATCCCAGCATCCGCACCAATCTTCGTACGACACAGTGGGACCTACATTTGGTATGGCACATTTACTGCGGCCGATGGCTCTGATGGTGTGTGGTCTATCACTGGTGTGGATCTCGAATCGTATGAATCTATCAACTTCCCTCTCGACCGAGTGGTCGATGGCGATCTTGGCCAGACACTGTGTTTTGAGATGCATGATGAACATCTCTATGCAGTTTCAACCCAGGTTGCCTCAGATGATGATGAAGTACACTCCTCTTTCTACCATTGGCTCTGTCATGCCCCTCGCGAACAATGCCGCAAATGGAACGGTCGCTTCTGGCGGCGAGAGCACCAAGAAGGGCCCATTAATGAGATGTGGACTGATCTCTCAATTCGTAAAGATGAGACTACTGGCCGGCCAGTCATACTTGAATGTCGCCGTGAGTGGCGCGACGGCAAGAGCGAAAACCACCGTACATATTACACACAGCGACTTCCCACACCAGAAGAAGCTCTAGCGCCCCTTTCGGGGGGCGCCATCGAAACTCCATCCTGGGTCTCTATGGACTATGACCTTGAGAATGAACACCCCTACGATGAGCGACCTGCCAAGAGGCTGCGGCGGCATTATCATGCTGAGTACGAGTCTGGCTCTACAAAACGGCAGGAATTCATCCCAGCTCGCACTAAACACAGGAGTTACCACCTTGCTGCATCTACCTTTGTCGACATTGTCAATGACCCTGCCGGCGATAATCTGCGATCTCGAGATCGGATCCGCCTCCGCACAGTGTCACGCAAGCGAAAATGTCCCATTGACGAGGAGGGAATTGAGGGACCTCGCAACCGACTGTTCCAGCCCACCCAGGTGGACCAAGATGGCCGTCCTATCGAAGGCTCCGAGGAGCGATTCGAGTGTCGTGGCGTGCACATGTGGCCTCCAGATAACGCCCCGCCTGCATTACAGCAATTGCTCTGTCCAGGCCCGCGCATTGGTTCCGTGAAAAGTGTTGCAGATGAACGCTCAATCATCTACTCGATCGATGCCCCTGGACTTCCCCCAAATCAACAAGCTCTTATCCTCATTAGCTTTGATCCTCATTTCCAACTTCCTATTACCACGTCTCTTCCTACTGCTACCTCTCCTGCAGATGCCCGGGATCCTGGGGAATTATTTCCAAAGACCCTGAAGCCACCACCTCCGAATTTCCCCTCGCGCAAGTTTGTGGAAGAAGCACCGCCCTTTTACATGGATATCAAGCGCGGGTACCATCTGCGTGGGAGAAGGGATTGATGTTAGGAGAACGTTGCATAGTCTAACCTAGAAAAGGTCAGATAAAATTAGCTGTCACACGACGATATACATACATAGTTAACATTAATATAAAAAACAAATCAAAATCTAGATCAGCACAAAGTAATCCTAGTATACGAGGTCGTGCATGCTTCCACCTGAGCACTAAAGACGGTCAATTCGGGCGCTCAGGAGGCCTTGGGCAGCAAACTTCATTTTGGATTTCCCACTGAAATATTGCTTGCAGTCAATTGGATGCCCTGGGAATCAATTGAAATATTAACCACAGCCATCTATGCATATATGACCCGTTCTATCGCAGTTCCCCCAGAAGCCCTAATAGTCGTCCAACATTGACATCTGCAGAATTCCCAGGTGGGCTTTTGGTCTATTTATTAAAATTCGATGGCTACCATCCAATTGCCAAATTGAAAGCCATGGACTTGTTCGAACAAGACGTTTCGACGAAGATACATGTATTTTGGCACGACTCTACTGCTTGAGTGCTTGTCAAGCTGACATCTTGTTTCACTGAAACAATATGCATACAGGCTACACGTGCAGGAATCGGATCTGTTCGTATCTTCGTATAATTTACGAATCATGCATTATCATCTGCAACTCAGCCCAGACCGACAGGCAGCCATGTATACAGAAAGTACACGAGCCCGCCGATGCACTGCCTCAGGAATGGAGTCGACAAAAAAAAAACAAGAACATTAAGATCCATCTTGATCTCTAAAGATATAAAGATAGTGATACACTCCCACAACGCCATCCAAAGAAAGGGAAACAAAAAGGCCATTGGCACAATCCAAAGGGGAATCAAGTATCGTCTAGGCATCAGCGCGCGAGCACTTCGCAATCATGTACACAGAACCCAGAATCGGAGACCTTTACTAAAAGAAAAGGTAACATCAACGCAAAACAAAAATAAAGTGAACAGGAATTGGCATTTCACAGTTTCATGTACGTGCTGGCTAGCAATTCGATGATTGCATCTCGTTTGACTGGGTGCGCGCCATGGAACATATCACGCACCGCAACGCTCCTCTTCATCTTTGATGCGAGGTCGGATGTGTCTGATAAGGCTGAGCTGGCGGGGTCGCTGTCGTCAGCGCTGTCCGAGAGGTCACCTAGCAGCTTGCTTGTGTCGCCCCCTGACTTGAGAATGTCTGTGAGGGTTTGATTGCCGCTGAGCAGGTTGTGAACAGTGTTCTTGACCAGATCGGCGATTGGCACGTTGGCCGTCAGCGTAAGCTGTTTCATCACGTTGGTGTAGTATGGTACCAGGGTGTCGTTCCAGGTGACGGTTCGGGTTATCGTGTCCAGGGCTAAGCTGCCAGTCTTGAGGGCATTTGCCTGCGATGCGAGCACCTTTCCGAGGTTCTCGATCATTGTGTGTATGTCCAAGATTCCAGTCAAAGGGAAGACGTTGTCGCCTGGTTTGATAGTGACGTCTTTGAGGGTGGCGTTTCCAATGACGAGGTCGCCACTCTTCACATCGAGGACGATTGTGCCAATGTCGAGAGTCAATACGGATGGGTTGGGAAGCGTGGCATTCCCAATTAGATTTGTGCCGTCTTCACGGGCTGGAACGAGCCCACTGTCGGCGATCCTGAATTTCTTGAATTGATCCAGCACTGGAATGAGGTCAACTTTGGCTTCACTTCTGATTTGTTTCTTCAACTCACCTGGTGACATGATATCCTTGTCCATGGTGACCTTGGACTTGAGCACACCCAAGTACGAATTAGTTACACCTCTGACTGATAGCGCAGTCTCCTTTTCGAACACAACATTATGCACATACTCCTCCCAGGTGTCCAGGTTGGTCAGTGGCGTCTCGACCTTGCTCACACCTAGGGTAGTGTTGCCCTTGATGACTTTGCCGTCGATTGTAGCCTGGCCCCATGCATTCTTTGCTCCCGTATCGCGCACGAACAGATTTAATGTGATCGGCTCAATGCGTACTGGCAGGGCAATTTTGAGATCCAATGCCGACAACAACGTCAATTCAATTTTGTCCGGTCGCGGGTTTAGGACCGAGGCATTGACCAATACTAGGTTGGACTTATTCACAACCATCTGTGATATGGCTGGAATGGCAACCAAAAAGCTATTACCTGCAATCAGTTGTTGCTCGTCATTTGGGGGCACAATTGGGACACTCACAAGACAGGCAGGAAAATTGCCAGGAAGATGATAGTCACCAAAAGATGCAGACACCAGAATCGCTTCCAATGGCGTTGAAACTTTTCCGTACGCTTCAGCTTCCTTGTCTCCAATGATAACCCCCCGACCGACTCGATCTGTGCGAGCTGGGCACCTTCATCGTCATGCTTGGATATCAATGGGCCACGATGAATACCTAGCGTGTATTTGGCATCATCTGAAGTCAGATATGCTGGGGTATCTGTATTTTTGCCCATGATCACAATGTCGATTTGGGTCAGAAAGGGGAGGATTCCGCGTATATGTATTTTTGTGTCGAACAGACGTATGGCCCGGACTCCTTCTCCCCATACTCCGTATCTTGTACACCGAAGCGGGACCCCATGGGCAAGAAAAAGGGAATAAAGCGGGCTTTTCGGAGGAGCATTTCTCTCTTTGGCGAATGACGCAGAAGGGGGAAAGGGATCTGCAGTTCAGGAGATGGCGATCTGCTACCAGCCGCGGCTTATTCCTAAGAAAGGCGACACTATTCACATGGGCCGAGATGATCGACATCGCCGAGAACACGATTCTTGGGGTTTCTCGGGGTTCTGCGGGGGACGTTTTCTGGGGAAGATTGCGAGAGAAAGCTGAGAGATATTAATGGGATCATATACGGCCCGTTTTTCACCTTTGACAACTCTCTAACCATGTCTATCCCTTCGTCACCCGTCTCCCCAGTGGACGAAAAGTCCCTCAACGATCTTCCAAGTGGCTCTGACGTGACCGCAAGCAATACCACGAGCGTCTCAGGTCGTCTTCATGCCCTAGAACAGCTAGAAGTCCTCCCTAAGATGCTTCAGGAGGGCATCCTCTTTGCAGGATCTGGCGCAACGTTGCTACTGCAAGCTGCCATGCCTGGAATTCGCGACGCAGGCACCAACCATGGCGGCCACAAGGAGCTAGCTACAGAGCTCATTGATGCCCTCCAGGCCCATATCAGCTACATCTCTTGCTTGGTCTTCGGTACCCGCGACGAACGCAAGGCTCTCATCGATCTCCTGCGGGACGGTAAGCCGCCCCTGTTAGGTGGCGGTCGTTCGAATCGCTTTGCTGAGCATCCGCCGCTACAGTTGTGGATGGCGGCGACGCTGTACGCGACCGCGACCGATTTTTACCAGCGCGTCTATGGCCGCGTTGACTACGCCAGTGCCCAGCGTGCATACCGCGAGTTTACTTTACTCATGAACTGCCTAGGTGTGCCTGCGGGTACCTGGCCGGAATCTCGCCAGGCATTCTGGGCTTACTGGGATGACCAGGTCCCCCGATTGACTGTCTCAGAGGATGCAGCTCTGTTTGCCAAGGATCTTCGGGAAAGTAACGATCTGCCGCGTTGGGTGCAGTCGTTGAAGCCTTTCTTACGTGTAACTACGACCGAGATGCTGCCCCCGCGTCTGCGTGATGCCTATGGTCTGCGCTCGACGGTCACAACCCGAGCCCTTTACCGCACCTGGATGGGCTTTTCGGTCGCTCTTTATCCGGCCATGCCTGATAAATGGCGGGCATATCCATTGAAATTTTATCAAGATCGGCTTAAAGAGAAGATGAATGTGAAGTAGGAATTGGTTTTAATGTAATCTTTGTCTGTATATACCCGATCGTTATGAGATCTGACTGTTCTTATGTATTTGTTCCATTCCTTGAACTCTTGTGTCCATACACATACTCTTCTTTAACAGTGTACAATAAAACAGAATAGAACATAGTGATTGTCATGATTCATTTATTCTATTTTTCACAATGATCCTAGCACACCACCAAGAAGCTTGGAAATATCCTCGACCAGCTATATAGTGCATTAGTAGAGGGCGCAAAGCACGAAGAAAACGAGTACTACATACCGGTGTGGCATCTCCAATGAGGGTAGTTGTGTTATCGACAAAGCTCTTGGTCAACAAGCTGTGGGCATTCTTCAAGATATCCTGCAAGATATCGATATTATCGGCAGCGAGCAACTTGGCTGCACCGTCAAGGATAGTATCCAACTTGTCGATGTTTTCGGTGCTCAAGAGACCCTGAACGCCACTCAAAAGTTCTGGCAGTTCCTCCAGGAGACCACCACTGGCGACCGGGGCCGGTGCCGCGACAGGGTTGGGACGAGGCTCGGGGGCAGCTAAAGCCAAGGGGGCCAGGGCCAAAGGGAAAAGAATCCGTGAGAAACGCATTGTGTTATATTGGTGAGTTGAGGGATGGCAAAGAAGACCAAAACATCATCTTATAAGCAGGATCTATATTGTATATTCCCATATTTCTCACTGTGTACGGAAATTGTCCGAGGGCCGTTTAGGTAGTTCAGATGAGGCCGAGGGATCAGCAATGCCATGTGAGAGAGAGAGAGAAGTCGAGACCAATGGCGAATACCAGAAATATCGAGCATCTTTCCCCGCAAGCCTCTGGTATCTCTCTCCCCAGGATGTCACCTTTTTAGTGGAAGATCGTCGTGTTGATCTTTTTTTTTTCCCTGGCGAGCGACGCTTGTCTCACCAAAGTCTGATCCGCTTCGGAGAAGAGGTCCGGTTAAGTAGGGATCTACATTAGGGGGAAATATCAAAAGTCTTGTATGGTGTACGGAGTATAGGTATACTTCTTATAGTGCCACCTCGTCATCTGCGGACTTAATTTAATCTACAAGAAAAGGAAACATGTGCTTAATGCGGTCTGACCTGTAACCTGAGCTCCATATCAAAAAATTAGAAAAGCAAAAAAAAAAAAGAAAATCAGGGAAAAGTCGACTTTCATATGCAAAATGGAAACGGTCTTTTGTTCGGGATTCAAACATGTCTCGTCACAGTCATATCTAAATACGCCATTCATGTGGATCACAGAGCTAGTGCGAGTCCAAGCACTCCCAGCGCCCCCAATGCCGACACGGTCAGCCCCGTCGGCTGGGCAGCCGCACCTTGAGACGAAGTCGAGCTTGCTGACCCAGAATTGCCATCGCCCGCAGTAGCTGTCGCTGCAGCCCCCATCTTTGCCGCAGTGGGCTTGCTTTCAGACGCTGTGGCCGTCAAGGCCCCCGCAGATATCTGCGACTTGACCACGGACATGTAGTCCTTCACGTCTGAGGGGAGGGCGCTGTACCAGGCGGGAGTAGTACCCGCCTTGAATTGGCTGGCGAGGGAGCTGCGCTCTGGAGGGTTGATGAGTTCCCAGATGACGGAGACGGGCACGACCGACAAAATCTCGGGAATGAGGGACTTGGGTGGCGGCGAGATATTGGCAAAGTTCGCCGTGGCTGTGGTGTTGCCCATCATATGCTGTCTGGAAAAATATTAGTTTTGTTCCTAGAAGCTATTGGAAAGAGTCAAATACAGTGCGCTCGAGATTGCACCGAGATTGATGCCATTGTCTGAAGTGTCTCGTTGGTGATGGTGTTGAGCGCCCCAGGCCGTTCCAAGAAAGAGTAAAGCTACTGGAAGTCTCATTCTGTCAAAAGGAATAAGAGATACAATGTAGATGAGGTGTGGGAAAGAGTATGCAGTCCATTCAAATGGGGCAGGGTCTATAGTATATCAAATGCTTAACCCTCTGGTCTTGGCCTGCCGATCTATGAGAATATCTTCATTAGTCCCAAAAATGACATGCAATGTGCTGCACGGAGTACTCAAGTCACTTCCTAAATTAATTGCTAAATTAAATTTCCATCTCGGTCGTCGATCAACCTCGGTCTCACCGGGATCAGATGCCAGCGGGGAAAAAGCCCTAACGCATTGAGATCCTCGCTTCTTGCGGGGAAATTTACGATGTAGCATTGTGGAAAGAACTTGATTTGCGGATGGGAGTGTCATATCTCGAGATATCTGCTTTGAATTTTACAAGGTAGACATGAGTATCGAGATCGCCATATCTCAAGAGTCCGACAGGATGTGGTAGTAATAAGTGTTGTGGGTACTAGAGGAGAGAGAAAAGAAGAAAGCCTGTGGCTTTCAATATATGAAGGGCATTTATAGCATGAGGTCTAGCAAACAATCGATGTTAGCAATAAATATGGAAATGGGATCATATAAGACTAAGTGACCCAATAGTAAGTGGCGGTGGCCGACACGTTTCCAAAATTGAAATCAACTACAACTACATATACAGTATTACAAAAGGGTCAAGGTAGAATAAAAACGTGGCATCAATTCGGATATCATAGCAAGGCCATCGTAAAAGTCGTGATAGTAAAACAAGTGTGACTCAGAAAGAAAAACTGGACTCAAGAGGTCATCAAAGTCAAGCTTAAACACCGCCCTTCTTGGCCATGTCGGCCTCAGCACCCCGCTGGCGGACCTTGCCCTCATCATGGATATCACGGTACTTCTCCTCCTCAGTGCGGTTACCAGTGACAGCGGCACCAATGGAACCAAGGGTACCCTGGGCGCGGTTCTGAATGCCCTCACCCCAGTCCTTGAGTTGGCCCTTGGCCTCTTGCTCCTTACCCGCGGCGTTTTGCTCCGCTCCAGTGCGGCGCAGGTTCTCGTTTCCGATCATGTTGCCGACGGACTCCTTGGCAGAGCCGATGGTCTGGTCCCAAGATCCAGTGTCGCGCTTGGGATCATCTTTGGCAACGGCTCCAGTGTTGGGGTCGGCGGTGAAGGGGCCCAACTTGGCGGTGGTGTGGGAAGCTTCATTTTCAGCTTTGCCTTCCTCGCGCTTAAGTTCACCCTTGGCCTAAGATGAATTAGTGTTGGAAATTTGGAATGGTGTTGGAGACTAGAATGAATGCTTACCTGAGTGGAGGAATCGCCGGTCACAGCACCCATGGCACGCTGAGCGAGACCAGTGGCTTGGTCAAGGTAGGACTGACCAGTGGAAGCATTGCCGGTATTGTCAGACATGATGAATTTGATGAAATTTGAATGGTAATGGTAGAGATAAGAGATGGTAGAGATCAGAGATCAGGGATGATTGATGTAGGAAGTGGTTGTAGGGAAGAATGGAAGGTAAGACAGGAATATCCCTCATATATATACGCCATGTTATACAAGCCACATGTTCTAGTGCCTTCTCCAATCTGATCTTCCAAGATTGAGGTTCTACAAAATTGTCATGATAAGTTACGTCATTGAGGTGATGTCATATCACGTGGATATTCTAGATGATGTCACGTCACGTGGATGTCACGTCTCTGTCTGAATGACGCTGTTTCCATTCACATCGCCCAAGGGATCCCGTCATCATAGGTCAGACCTTCTAGGTGATATTGGAAGTTTCTACGATATTGTATACAGATCCATGATGATATTGTCCACACAACCCGAATATCCAGACAGGTGGAATGTATTTCAAAGTGACTGACCAGTTCAAAAACATATGTGCAAGTACCCAAACACCAAGTCGCCGCGTACGGCGGACATAAATCTCACATGCAATGCCACGCTCGAAGAAAGACCAGAAAGAAAAGTATTTGAACTACCAGTGACAAATTCCGCCCTCGTTTTCATCAGCTGTCCATGTGCCACACAGGCCGACCACCTCGAGATGACCATCGGGTTGTTCGCCAACCTTGCTCAGCGAAGCAAAGTTCTTGTCGGCAGGGCCGTTGCTCAGCAACCGTCGCGCCCAGGCATCGATAGCCGGCTCCCCAGTCTCATCTCGAGCTTGTTTCAGGAATGGAATGAGTGCCGTACCACCGGTACCCCGCAGCTTCTTCTTGTCAGCCGGAGTCGCGGTTGCAAGGTTTGTCACTGCTGTGGGGGTTGGATTCGTTGATCGAGAAGGCTGACGTGCGCTGCGGGACTGTAGGATAATATAGCGGGACACTATAGTGATATGCTTATCGCGTAGCACACGCAGCATGGCTAGACAGGCATCGTAGGCGATACATAGCGCAGAGTCTCCGCGTCTCGCCTCGACAAAGGGGCGGATGTTTGCTACCGAGTCAATCTGCTCCAGGAATCGTCGGTGTGGGCCCGGCATGTAGGTGCGCATTTCGTGGATGAAGCTGTTTCGTGATTTGATGCCGTCAGTGCTCTGTTCATCGCTGCGACTGGTCCCAGTTGGTCGGTGTTCCACTCCGAGGATAATATCGAAGAATTGGATGAGTGAGCTTTGAGCATTGCTGCCCCCGCCATATTGCCGGTACTCGAGAGTGTGGCCATCGTCGTACAATAGCCCATTTGGCAATCCGGCATCCGACATGTTTTTACTTCCAGCTAAATAAGGGCGTATACGGTTGTAGAAGACATATGGATCGCAGTTTTCATACATCCTCTGTAGTAACGTGCTGGTCTCATCGATGGTTTCTGCTAGTCGTTGCAAGCACTCGGTTACGATCTGGCTATTTCCTGTGCGGGCGGCCGTGATAGCCCGGAGCATCAGAGGGATAGCAGGGGCCCCCCGTGCTTCTATGGCGACGGAAATGAGGTAGAACCATTGTTCATCTAGAGATCCAGTGAAGGTTTGCAGACAAGCTAGGTTATCCAAGTTGGTGGCAGGCTCGTCGGCGAAGACGGGTTTATAATTCCACAGGCAGACTCCCGCGTAGGTAGCCACGGGGGGTAATTCGAGTCGTTCACAGACTTTGAACAAAGGCACTGTCAGTTGAGGTGGAATCCTCTGGGGAAGATGTTAGTATACGGTTCCATACTTTGAACCAATAGGAAGGGTTCCTACCTCTGTGGGCGAATCGCCACTCCAGACATAACCGTGTAGTATGAATACCAGTACGACATATGCACGACGCCACTCAGCCTCGGTCCGTAGGTGTATGACAGAGAGTAGAGGGAGATGATCCACCATCGATTGTAGACGTTTACTCAATATCAATGGGTGCAGATTCCCAATGATCATCTCCCAGTCAGCGTAGTAAGGATCGGGGAGGACCTCTAGGGGTAGCTCTGGGGAGAGGAAACCGTAGTCGGAAGTCACTCCGAACTCGGCAGGATTTGGCACCGGAGGCAACATTTGAAAAGGATACTTTGCGACTGTCTAAATCTCCGAGTGACAGATTGATATGATTCAGGAATTTCAAGATAGGATGCAAAGGAACAAATCGTTAAGAGAATTATCTGGGATTATAGCAGAGAGAGAAAGAGAAAGAGAGAGAGAGAGAGAAAGAGAGAGAGAGGGATCAGGAACAGTCCGGGTATCCCAAAAAGGTATGCGGATGATGACGGAAGATGGAAAATGATTAAGATTTGACAACTTCCTATAGATTTCCGAGTCTTCTGAAGGGTCAGAATTTTCCATAGGCAAAGCACGTAATTTCACCGGGGATCCCTGGAAGGTAAAGTGACACGATGTAGTTAATAATGAAAAGAGAGATAGGATAATAGGGAACGGGGGATTGTTTTTTTTTAGAGGCCCTTGGGGCAGTTTTAGAGGGCAGATCCAGATTCCAGCAGGTAGATCAGGCAGGTAGAGGCCCTCCAGTTCCCAGGGAAGAGAAGAGAAGAGACTTAGGTACAGTTTATATGGCTATACAATCAAAGGCCGTGCCAAGAAGGATTGGGTGCATCCGCGAGGCCCAAGTGGAGTGGAATTTAAGCGAAAAATAAATTGAGTGCGAGACAAAGGGCCCAACGAGCGCAACGACACGGGTAAAATGGGCCCGGACACGCATTCTCGGGCAATTTCGCTCGTTTCGCTCTTTTCGCCTATTTTGGCTTCGAATTCGCTTCACTCACGCTCCTCCGGATCGTCCTGGATCCCGGGGGAACCTACAGATGGCTGCACTTTATATTCAACCTCTATTGGACATTTAATATTCGACAGTGAGATGTGTCGACTTGCGATATTCAAATACTTAGGTAGTCAACGAATTTCTCATTTGGTCTACTAATATTAGGTAAGGCATCGATGATTACTAAAGGCACTCCGAGGTCACTGCCGAGGTACAGACCGACATAAAAATACTATAGCTGTCAACGGTATAAACGATCGTTTCTGCTTTGTGTCACAATCGCCTACATATATGCATGCAATGCTCGGCATATAATCATGGCAACATATTTCAATTGAGTCTAGACAAACCAGGCCACGGATTGTAGGATTGTAGTACAACGCTTGCAATGCCAAGCTCATAGCTCAGATCGAGGATTGAGACTGCCACAAGAGCGATCCCAGAGCTGAGAGGCAAGACAGCGGGGGTCGTGTTATTCAAAGCGAGATTGGTCAAGGTTGGCTCTATCGCCGATGGTGTAGCCGTCTGACATGCAGAGTGGGAGCGAGGAGAGGTACCATCGAAGCTGAACCGTGGCCATCTATATGTGCTCAGCCCCACACGACAGTGGTTGGCAAATGCAATCCCAGCTCCAAGCAAATGGATTATCCTACACAATTCCTACCATTGATCCTGGAAGGCATTACCTTGCATGTATCGGCTGACTGCAACTTCCCTGGCAGATGAAGCGATCGAGGACAGCATGGTATAGATACCTCCAAGTGGGCACATACTGACTCAATCGGTTTCTCCACGGGCATACATATTAGATCACGTACAATCAAGTCGTGAACATAGCTGATCAGGGGCTGTAGTCAATAATGGAGCGGCACCAGAGGGAAGAGCAAGGGCACTGACCATCATGGCTGGTGCTTTATGGAATCTGCCGAGACCTTGATGCTTGGAAGAAGGTGCCCAGATGTTCATATAGAGACAATGGTGCCCATCGCAGTTCTTGAACTGGGGGCTCGGCATAATGAATTCCAAGAAACGCCCGTACCGTGTGTGCAGAGTTGTTATATATCCCATTCAACGTACCGGAGGAAGTCACGACTCGAAGCTCAGAGGGTGGAAGACCAGCCACAGTAACCACATTACTCCCAAAGGCACAAAGGATGAGAAATATATGCATCGTGTAGCGCCTTTCTGTCCAGCTTGGAGGTTTCTTTTGCTATGACCAAGGCCATCTTAAACAAGTCGCCCATGGACTCGCGGTACATAGAGTATTTGACTTCTTTGCACAGAATAGAGACACTTTTTGGACGGGGGTTTCGGGGCCCGGGAGAAATGGTTACTTATGAAAACTTTGCTTTTCACTCCAGGGTTTCATCACATGAAGTTAGGAAACTTGCTCCAATGTCATTGATGACACTGGGAACAAGATGATGACTTACGACGCATCAAAGAGAAAGGTAGAGAGTAGTTAATTGCGAGGTGATTATTCTCAGTCTGTACAAATCCGATGTTGTTACACTTCAACGCCGTCCCTAATGGGCCTTTTTTCTCGAAAAATCAAAATTAATGCGATCAGTGCTGACTCCATTCGATCGTGTTCAGATCAATTCCCTCCTGCACCAATTCCCAAAGCGGACTCAGTTCACGCAAGAAAGACACACGAGCCTGGACAGCCTTGAGAACGTAGTCAATCTCCTCGTCCGAGGTGAATCGACCGATACCGAAACGGATACTGCTGTGGGCACTCTCGTCGCTGCTACCCAGGGCACGCAGCACGTAGCTAGGCTCCAGAGAGGCTGAGGTACAGGCACTGCCCGATGATAGCGCAATGTCGTTGAGGGCCATCAGGAGGGATTCACCCTCAACGTAGGCAAATGAAATATTCACGCAGCCAGGGTAGTGATGCTCGGGGTCACCGTTGAGTGTGGTGTGTTCCATGGCAAGGAGACCTTCACTCAGACGCTTCGACAGGCGATTGATGTGCTTGGTGTCATACTGTTCAACCGGTCGATTAGCATGTCATGTTTCGAACACGAAAAGAAGAATTGAGAAACGAAATCTTACCTCCATATCCTGGGCGGCAATTCGGCAAGCCTCGCCAAAACCCACTGCCAAATGAGGAGCCAAGGTGCCACTACGTAGACCTCTTTCCTGTCCACCACCGGTGATGAGAGGATCGAGACGGACACGCGGGCGACGACGCACAAAGCAGGCACCAATACCCTTGGGGCCATAGATCTTGTGGCTGGAGATGGACATCAAATCGATGTTCAGCTTATTCACATCCAATGGGATCTTTCCAACAGCCTGCGCACCGTCAGTGTGGAAGAAGACCTTCTTGGACCGGCAGAGGCGGCCAATCTCCTCCATTGGCTGGATGACACCAATCTCATTGTTGACAGCCATGACACTGACAATGCAAGTCTCCGGGCGCATGGCCGCCTCAAGATCCGACATGCGAATCAAACCGTTGCTCTGAACCGGCAAGTAGGTCACCTCAAAGCCTTCATCCTGCAAGTGTCGGCAGCTGTCGAGCACACACTTGTGTTCAGTTTGGGTGGTGATGATGTGGTTCTTCTTTCCTGAGCGACCAAAGAACCGCGCCACACCCTTCAAGCTCATATTGTTGCTCTCGGTCGCACCACTTGTAAAGATGATCTCCTTGGGGTCCGCTCCAATCAGCTTGGCGATGTGCTCGCGGGCCTCCTCAACTCCCTTCTCCGACTCCCAACCGTATGCGTGTGTGCGCGAATGGGGGTTACCATAGATACCGGTGAGGTAAGGAAGCATGGTATCGAGAACGCGGGGGTCCAGAGGTGTAGTGGCTTGCATATCGAGGTAAATGGGCCGGGTGCCCTGGTCCATAACGGTAGCCTGCTTCAGAATGCCAGCCGAGGGGCTCATCGCGGCATCGCCGGAGGTTGCCGAGCCGGGCAGCTTGACATTGGAAGGTGCCATATGGGCCTTATTCATGAATGACTTTTGTTCCTCTTTGATGGCAGTCTCGATGTTAACCTGAGCTTGGTCAACTTTTGTCTCGGTGACATAAGACCGAGCGCGCATGCCGGTGGCGAGAACTCGAGGAGCTCGAGAACCATAGGTTGTAAGGCGCCTGGAGAAGGCAGATGCCTGTCTCCAAGCAGCAGGAGCAGCACTTGTCATTGTGAAGATGATGCCACGATATGTTTGAAAGTGGGATGGAGAAGGAAACACCCCGACTTTTTGTTATCTGCATCTCCCAATGACTAAAGATCTCGGGGATTTCCTAATTGAGTTTATCCGAGATGCCTAAGGCAACTCGGAGGTATAAGGTTCCCCTTTCAGTCTTCATCCAGGACTTATATCATATCCTTCCCTTTACAACAATGATTCTGATTTTTTTATTTGAACTGATACCTTTTGGATGTTCACTCTCATCCAATTGCCAAGTCACTCCACACAAAGACATGGCCCAATGATGATCATCTGACTGGGGTCTCTCATTTGACCGTTCCTACGATTTTCTCGGGTAAGGCGGCCGGGGAAAGAGAACCCTGGGGATCGTATAAGCCCACGGAGGATATATTCGACTATCATAACTAATTTATACTCCGTATAGTGGAGAGGATTTGGGTACATATGTACGGAGTACGGAGTACGTTGGAGTATGTTGCAGTATGTTGCAGTATGTTGTACAGAGTACGTCCAGGGATACCCCATAGTAATTCAGGTGCCTAAGATAATGCGCCACATAATCATAAGGCAGAGCAATTAGCGTAAAAAATAGTTCCAAATAGTACAGAATATAGTACCAAATCGCAAGTATAAAATAGTGTACAGCCACAATGGACATCAGCTCCGAGTCTTATGTCATTGAAAAGGTTCAGGTTTCCCCCCACCTTGGCACTTTCCTTCTTCTCTACTACTCTCCATCACATCATGAGTTTCAAAGGTTTCCAGAAGAGCCTTGTGCGTGCGCCACAGCAGTTCAAGGTCAAGTTCAATATCGGTGAACATACCAAGGATGCTGTCTATAGCGATGCCGAACGCCGCTTTGATGAACTTGAGAAAGAGACCAAGAAGCTACACGATGAATCTAAGAAATACTTTTCTGCCATTAACGGTGTGTAATTCGATCTCTCAATCCATCTTTATTCCCTTGAAATACTGACTGCGTGCGCAGGTATGTTGAGCCACCAAATTGAATTCTCCAAAGCCGTTGCCGAAATCTACAAACCCATCTCCGGTCGCGCCTCCGATCCCACCTCCTACCAATTTGAAGGGAATGCCGAGGGTATCCAAGCCTGTG